AAATTTCCTTCAAGGACTATAAATATTTTCAATGTAAATATTTTATTCAAATGAATAAATGCATACAAAATACAAATATGTATTGCACATATCGTATGTGCTCAAAATACTTAAACGTACTTCCTTCTTATTTCTTAAAGTGAAATTAAATTCATGCATTAGGAAATACTTTGAGCAGTAAATAACTTATTTATGACTTTGTATTCTAAAAAATGATTCTCATGATACTTTAATAATAAGCTACATCAAGGTTCCTGACAATCTGCTAGGTTTTCCATCTGACTCTGTTGCTGGCTATTTTCAGATAATTTTGAATTGTTCAGAAAACCAATAAAAAAAGTCAACGTGAAAGATATTTTTTATTTCCCTGAGAAATTGCTGGTATATCTATGTTGTAGCCAGTCAAAGATAAATCATGGAAGTGCAAGAAAGAGCTGACTTATTATGCCCCAGTGTTAGCAAAGAGAACAGAGTCCGTTACAAACAAAAAAAATTCAAAATTTTCGTTTTGTTTTTTAAAGCATAAACATTTAAGGAATGCAATAAAATTTCATCACAGTGATTATCTTAATCATAAAAACTAGTAGGAATACTAAAATTATAAATTACTCGAAAAATAATAACGAATTTTTTTAAAAATAAGAACTTTGAAGATTCGATTTTCGAAAAATAAGAATCTCAAAAATTTGAAGTTCGAATAATAAGAACTCAAAAATTTCTGTTTGCTAGCATTGGATTATGCCTTTAGTCATATTGTCGATAAAGCCCTGATAGTTCAGTGGAAAACGCAATCGATTGAGTTAATGGTCACGGGTTCAAATCTCACTCGACATTCATATACTCAATATGCTTTTCAAAATTCTACAAAGTTATTATGGGGTCGTTTACTTATTACGTTAATCTAAAACATAATTTTGACCCACAACCTCCCTCTGTCACAAAATTGTTACATATATCAATACCCCCCCCCCCCCCCCTTGTAACGTTCAATCTTAGACACAAAACAATATAACTTTCTCACAACTAAATTGGATGTCACAAATTTCCTGAACCCCTCTCTCCCCTGTCACAATAAGTCACAAAGGTTTAGAACCCTAAGGACTCGTTCACTTAGTACGCAACGCAGAAAAAATGGCTTTTCAGACCCCCCACCCACTTTGCTACAACTTTGGAATGAAAATTTTTTTCTTCGTGCGAGCTGTTTCAAGTCTAAGGCCCTCTCATTTTAAAAAGCGGACGTGGTTAGTAAACAACCCCTAAAGTAAACAAATTTAAGTGCACTTCAATTTTTAAGAATTTATCTCATGGGCCCTGGACATGAAATAACTCAAAATATTTTGACTTTGAAGTCTTTGAAATAATTTTGAGTTAAAAATTCTTCAAAATTAAATTGCTTTTTCAACAACATTTAGTGAGTAAAATGTAAATATTAGTAGCTAGAGAAATAGAATCGAGTCTCTGAAAATTCAATTGAATTTCATTACAAAATTTGATTTATGAAATTTCGAATGCTTTGTAAATTTTTAAAAGACTTCCAAATAACTTATCCATGAATAAACAAAATGGACAAGAAAATTAAAATCATAATATTAAGCACAGCAACAGTTCAGTATTCTTAGAGTAAAAACTGCATTTGTTTCTAAAAATTAAATGCATCCTAATTCAATCACAATGCCACTTTGTTACCTTACTTAATTTAAAGTGACTCAATGTCTCACACGAAGCATCATCAAAGAAAGTTAACACGTCACTTCCACATTTCGTACTTTCCATTTCAATTATTGTTGTTTTTTGCATTAAAAATGTCATCATTTAAGTAAGAATCAGTGTGAGAGAGATGGAGACGAAAAGGGATATATGACATAAAAAAATATCTAAATGTGACTTTTGATGTATTACATGAACGAATAATAATAAGAAAAAATCACGAATCCTTTTTATGCTTGTGTTGCTAAAGATATTATCATTTGATTGATATGTTGGAAGAGCGTCTCTTGGCAGCTTCTAGGAAAGGAAAAACAGTATGAAATATTTAGTTGGGTTTTATGATGTTTTTGGAGTGATTTCTGTAGAGTGATTATTTCGTTGTGGGATTTGTCATAAGCCTAAATATCAAAAGTTGCGTTTTATGGATTTGAATGTGGAGTTTTGGTTTATTTTATGCTGGATATTCCGCTAGGGCGATTCGAAGTTAATGAGAGTTATATGAGTGATGATGCGCCAAACCACTGCACTCAAACCTAGACCTGTAGCCTACAAAGGAAGGCTGTGAGCCTAATTTTGAGTAAATATGATTAGAAAGAGGACAAGTGAAAAATTTACCTATACCCAGTCTCGATCTCATGATCGATGTTGTCAGTTTTATAATAACTAGGTACTAAACCATTCCTTCATAAAAATAATAAGCAATCGAGCCTTAATTATGTCCATCAATTTTATTTGTTTAAAGTGAATTTCAATCTCAAGCGAACCCCCCCCCCCCCCCCCCCCCTTGGTCGCTTAAATTCAATCTTAAATATATCTTTCATATATGAACTCATTTCAAAAAGTCTTTAAGAAGCTCAAACATTTAATATTACTAAGGAAACGATAATTTTCAAGATGCAAAGTCAAGAAATGTTGATATTTGGCAATGAATTATTAATTTGACAGCAATTATGAATGTCTCATAAAATATTCACTCATTTTAACAAGAAGTTACGTATATTATGTGAAAAAAATATTCGAATTTTAAGCATCTCTCCACCTCACCATAGCAATGGGATTAAAATTCAAATCAAAGTAAAAAAATATTTTTCTTGGAATTCCAAACAAAAAAAAAGTGGAGAAAAAATTTGAATTTCAAATGCTCATTAAATTTTTAAATCAAGACTTCTTTTCCCACTTTTAAGAAAAAAATATGAATCTGTTTGGTTTTGTTCAAGGTTGTCATGGAGCCGTTCACTAATTACGTACACAAAAAATCTGCAATTTAAAATATTTTTTATCATTAATTTTCTAAAGGGGTCATTCACTTATGACGACCAAAATTAACGGTCATTTTTCAAAAAAGAACAATGGATTTCCAGGAATTTCTATTGTTCTTTTCTTGATGACCCCCCCCCCCCCCCCCTGGACGTTATAAGTGAACGGCCCAAAACTGAAAAAATTCTTTTGATTGAACTCATCCCACTTAAAAATGTTACGTAATAAATGAACAGCCCCCATCAACTTTTTAAATTTTTATCGAGAGGAATGGAAATTTTAGCTTTTTATTTTCTAAAACTTATTACGTTGTGATTGTGTGAATTTTGTTTTATATATTCATGAAGTCTGCAGAGATTTGTTTAAGAAAGTTGGAATTTAAGAAGCAACAGATAAAACATTTGCAAGCTATATAAATTCCAAAGAATCTAGTTCCACTCAAAATACTAGTCAAAGTCTGTAAGTAAGTGTTAAATAGTTCGCAGTTAAAAGACCACACTCGAATAGCACAAGTCGGTTAATCGAATTGAAATCTGGAACTAAGCTGGCTTGACTCTGGCATGGTGCTGGCTTCGATTTAAATCTAGAACCATGCCAAAGTCACACCGGTCGGGTACCGGATTTCTGATCGATTAATTGATTTCGGGGCAATGCTTTATTTACAAGCTGACAATCTGATAAAAGCTCTTAACAAGAAACCAGGCCCTCAATCCACTGCCATTTGATAGAATCAGATCGGGACCCCTTCAAAATCATTTCTTGCATCACACCTGACTCAACTCGTTTGCTAGCCCAAAAATAACAACACTGTTTACTGCAAATCGATGATAATTCCTGCAAAAGGAAGCATAATCCACCAGCCAAAGGGCTCTCAAATATAATTTTTCATTCGATAAAATTTCACACTTCAGTTCCATTTCTGCAATCAATTTAAATTTCCGCATTTACTCTTGCAAAATTTATTTATTATGCAGAAGAGTGGAAAGGAAATGCATGAATTTTTTTTTCACCATGCATTTTCCACTTCTTCTTCTATGCATAATTCAGTTCTATCTATTCTTGCAGCATAATTACTTAACGCCATGCACATTGTACAAATTATTTTAAAATGTATATATAAAGCTGTATGTTTATATATTCATATGTTAAACCTCACATACATATATGCGGTAGTTTTCTAATCCATGACAATTGAATTTGGTCTCGGTTGCTATGGTGAGCCTCATTCCCTCACTTATTTCTCTCTATCTCACTTACACACTATGTTGAAGCCATAATCCAAATAAATTTGCTTACTCTCGAAGCCATTATTATTGCCATTTGCCGACCAATGTGCAAACAAGCAAAAATTATATTATTTTAATGGTGTTTTTGGTATTTGCTTTTAAGATTTTCCTACACACAACTCTTCTGACTCACTGTGTGCTTTCCTTTTGGTTGTGCGGATTGAATTCTAAACATTTTTGCTATACACATAGAGAAAGTTACGTAAAAGGAACATATTCTTTCGAGATAATGGAATCTTTTTGGAAAAAGAAAATAAGAGATTGAGGCTAAGGAGGTTGGAAATAATTTTAGGATCAGCCAAACTCTATAGTTTGAAACTCTACTAAGCACTTGTCATTTTATGACATAACTTGCTTTAATAAACATTTATTCATATGACATTCATAAAAAAAAGAAGCAGAACCATCCGCTTCCCCTAGTAATTAACATTAAAGTCCTTAAACCACTGCGATCAAACAATACAATGTTAATGGATTCAAAAAATTTAAAGGCATGACTCTCAAAAATTCGGTGTAATCAATCAATATCCATGCGCCCAAAAAAAAATTTCAATTTCATTAAAATTGTGGACTGTATGGAATATTGTCATAGTACTTAAAACTGATATTACAAAGCATCGACCAAATGTTCACCAAATCATCGAAGGACCTCACATATTGAACATTATATTTTGATTTTTCATGTGACTAAAGCACAATATGTTAAATAACTTAGCAACATATTGATTTTACTTCTTCTCTTTTCGACAGGTCGTCCGGAGCCGACAGTGACATGGTATAGTGGGATGACACCATTGCAGACAGGCGGTGGTGTATCGATGGGCCGACATGTCACAGTCAATCGATTAGAAATTTCACATGTAAAGCGTGATGCGCTTAATACAACTTACGTGTGCCAAGCATCAAATACAAAGCTAGTGCCGCCAGCTGAACGGACTGTACGGGTTGAGATGTTATGTGAGTGTCAGAGAGAGAGAGAGTCATAAATTCTTTACTGTTGCTGCTGCTGCTGTTGGTATTTTTTCAACATAAAAGTAAACGTTCATATGGTTATAAAGAGACTATACACAAACCCAATATAATTCACATTCTTCAACTTTCATCCTTTTTTTCCATCTCCTCCCTCATTTTTCGTATCCATCCATTTTAATACGGAATGGAATATTGTGTAGTCATAACAGCAGCAGCAAGTAGCATAAACAATATGTATATAAACACACATATTTGAAAACTATGCAAACTATTTTTTTTTATTCCAGTGAAACCAGTATCAACAAGTATAGCTCATAAACCGAAACAGTTGGTGACGGAAAGCCAGATAACTTTATCATGTGAAGTCGAGGGCTCTGTTCCGGACACTGATATAAAGTGGACCCAAAATAATCGAGCGTTTGAGCGTGGCACGGTAAGTACATATTTTCAACTTTTTTATTCGATTTTTTTTTTAATTTTCAACTTCTGTATGGAACAATTGGGGGTGATTTTTATTAAATTTCATTTCCATCGCAATAAAAAGTTTTTTTTAAGTGAAACTTTAATTGGGTAGGAAAAAATTGTTTTATTCTGTCTGACAATTTTAAAAGGGAAATAGATTTAAGTGTTGGAACATGATTGGAATTTTATATGATAATTATTAAGACATTGAGATTTTTGAGTAGTTGATAATTTTATTGAACTATATATAGAGCCACAATTATTAGGCTGCACATTCAATTATTACATAATAAGGAGGGCATTAAGGGAGGGTCAACATCTGTACTTTTTTGAGAAAAAAACCTCAACATTTTTGGAAAAATTCAATCTGTGGCGTACCCTGTCAGAAATACACCTATAACCAAAGAGTATGCACTCGGGATAGTTCCAAAGATCTCAAAATATGTCATCAAACACTTCAATCTAAAAATCCCTAAAATGCAGCTACCCTAAAATGCAGATAGTACTGCCAAGATGCAGATGGTGCTGCTAAAGTGCAGATGAAATATATTTTCCCTAAAATGCAGATGAAATGCTGTTGCTTTAAAAAAGGTATAGTGGGATTCAATGTTTGATGACAGGGAGTGTTGGATTTTTTGAGGATATTTTGGGATTAATCTCGAGTGAATCCGCCTTGTCTATAAATTCATTTTTCCTCCTTTTTTTTAAAATTGAAAAAAAAATTTAAATGAAAAAAAAACTCAAATTAAACTTTTACTACACACCCAATAAAGGGAAACCATGTAATTATAATTTTTTTCCTCTGTTTTAATTTAAAAAGTTTTAATATTCCAATATTTTTATCCACTTGACTCATTTTCCAAGCCAATTTCAATTTTGGTTATCTTACACTTGATTTTTTGCTGATCTCTATTGGAATTTGCTTTTTATTCATATTAAAATGGTTTGCATAGTCGCAGTTATGATGATTTTATGATGAATTTATAGAAACTTTCAGAATATTCAACTTTGTTGTGCTTAATCGATGGGTTAATGTTGGTGCGATGGGCAACGCTAGAATATTGAAAGTTAAATAAAATTGCCTAAATTTGCTAGGAAACATACAGAACTGTTGAATTAATTGAAAAACTGTAAAACAATCAGAAACTTTCATTATTCGCTAGAAAATCATTGATTAAAAAAAATTAAAATCCTCAACAGAACTGAATTAAATTAGTTTTTACAACTGGATAAAATTAAAATTTACATCAATTTCATGTTAAGCATTCCACAAAATCTCAAATAAGCTTTTTCCACTATCCGCAAATACAAAATTACAAGCACACAATCATCCATAAATTGGATATTGCTGAGTGGAAAATTGCAACAGTAAAGTGAGAGGAAAAAAAAATTGCTGCGGTGTGAATATCCAATAATGAAAAATATAAACGAGAGAATGGAGAAAAATGAAAGAATCACTGTACATCAAAATAAGAGCTGACAATCGATTTTTACACTATAATTAAAATTGTATAATTTAATTGCGTTTTTAACTGAGCTGAGTGAGATAGGAGGAAAAAATTTATATTTTATATTGAGAGGAAATAATGTGCTTTATAATTACCAACACATGTAGCTTGTCAAAAATATCATATTATCTGAAACTGTGCAGATAGTTTGTAAAACTCTTATGGATATGGTTTATGGCGCAATTTTATGAAAAGCTTTATTTAATACCTTGAATTGAAACTATTAATAGGTACATAAGGGGTACTCTGCGCTTGAATTGAAACCAGTGTTGCAAATTTAGATGTCTACACTAGATGAAGAATGTAGATTCTTCAATAGTTTTTGTCTAGCTAAGAAACTTTCTTCATAAAGATCGATTCTATATGAAGATAGAAAATCTAATCTACACAAAGATTCTGTCTACATAAAGATTCGATGTAGATGTCTACAACTCTACATTTTTTCTAGGTCTACATCGGAGAAGAATGTAGTATTGTAGACATCTACATCGAATCTTTATGTAGACAGAATCTTTATGTACAAATAATCTTTGTGTAGATTAGATTTTCTATCTACATGTAATATCGATCTTTATGAAGAAATTTCTGTCTCAGAATTTATCTGATCCAGACAAATCGCCAGAATGCAACACTGATTGAAACACTATCATACACTATAAGGTCCTAATAAAATTTAACTGTGACTAGATAGTGTGCTTGGAATAGCCCAAGAAATTGTACTCTGCAATCTTATTATCGCATTTATTCCTTCTAGGAAAAATTTTGAAACAATATTTCAGCAAAAAATTTAAAGTCATGTCAAGAAGGAGGTTTTGGGACATCCTTAGACCTTATCTTCCCTAGCTTTACTCATGAGCCTTAACATTTTGATAATCTATAAAACATGAATAGCAACAAACTTATCTTATTCGTTGTAATTTCGTGACACTTTACATAATGATTGAGAGATTGGTTTCTGGTAGGAATCGAACCCACGTCCTCACGAAAGAGGGTTAATATCCAATCTGTTGCTTTACCACTCGCACCATAGATGCCTAACCTCCAAACTAGCAGATTCGCTTATTAAATGGCTATATACTTCAGTTCCCACTCTGCTTCGACACCACATTAACATTAAGTGTTGCATTCTGGCTATTTGTCTGGATCAGATAAATTCTGAGACAGAAATTTCTTCATAAAATCGATTCTACATGTAGAAAGAAAAAAACCATCTACATGTAGATTGTGTCTACATGTAGAATCTGTCTACATGTAGATTTAATGTAGATGTCTACGATTCTACATTCTTCTCTGATGTAGACCTGGAAAAAATGTAGAATTATAGACATCTACATCGAATCTACATGTAGACAGATTCTACATGTAGACACAATCTACATGTAGATGGTTTTTTTCTTTCTACATGTAGAATCGATCTTTATGAAGAAAGTTTCTTAGCTAGACAAAAACTATTGAAGAATCTACATTCTTCATCTAGTGTAGACATCTACATTTGCAACACTGAACATTAATTCGTCGGATGATAAAATCACACCCAAACTGCATCAATTTTATGATTTAATCCCACTCAAAAAAGATAGTAGTGCGATACAAGAATGATTAATTATGTAGCTATATTTTTGTTTTACTGATAACCATCAATTGAAGCGCTGTAATTACATTATTATCAATCTTGATATAACTCTGCTTGATAATAAATTAACGCTTCAACTAGGAATGTTTCATTTTTTCAATCATAAAATATTCAGTTGTCTACTGAAAATCGTCCCTCCGGGATATACTATAATATTACATAAATTCACCATTGTGTCCTTTTTCATATTATCAATTCGATATTGATTTAGTCTTGGTATCTAAGAAATTAAATCTGTCGTAAATTTTTTTATCCTTTTCAAATAAGATTCTTCTCGGAAGAGGTCCTTAAATGAGTTTTAAAGATTCTTTAGATAGATAGAATTAGATGTAGGGTTCGTTATACACGAAAAGGCACTGCGATCATAGATCTGTTGTACCATCCCTTTAGGTTCAGCTATAGAATTCCAATGTCCTTAATAAATCCCACTAAGTCCAAATAGCGCTGCTTCCTTATGCCACCTATATTGACAACATCCTCCTTGAAATGTTTATGGCGAAAAGCACATAGTGACTTACAGTCACATAGAATGTGTGCCATGGTCTCCTCAGCTGTACTACAAAACCTACAAAATTTAGAGTTACTTAAATTGAGCTTAACAAGAAAACTATTGATACTCATGTGTCCAGTCAAAGCACCAATTAAGATGCTAAGATCCCTTCTTGTCAGTTTCAATGCATCGTTTAGGCTGTTCTTGTTGGTAGGGCCTAGCAGTTTTTTAGCTGTTAGGGATCCTTTTTCTGAACACCAAATGCGAAAGTGTTGCCTGATAAGCCACTCACGAATCTCCCGTTTTACGATGTCCAAACCGTAATAAACAGTCTCGTCGTAATCCGTTCTTGAACACGCCTCTTTAGCAAGTTGATCCGCTGTTTCATTTCCTACGTTTCCATTATGTCCTTGTACCCAATGAAGTGTAACTTCATTGTCCAGTCCTAGAGATGAAAGACTAGAAATACAATCATAAACAGTTTTAGACTTTATGTTACAGTTGCCAAGTGCTGCTAACGCAGATTTGCTATCAGAAAAGAAGCAAATCTTGCAGTCCTTTACTTTCATATCGCTAATATGCTTTGCACCTACACATATAGCCTGCACTTCAGCTTGGAAAACACTTGCATGTTCCTGCAAACTAAAAGATAATGAAATTTCCAAATCTTTACTGAAAACACCAATCCCGACTCCATCTTCTGATTTAGATGCATCGGTGTATACACAAATAACATCTGCCTCAACCATTAGGACTTCATCTTCTGAGGTGACAACTTTAAATGGTTTGTCAAAAACGTGCCTACAAATTGGATGATCTGCTTCCGCGATAGACAGTGCATTTCCTCTTAAGAATCTGTTAAGTTCCAAGTGTCCTGAAAAAATCCAATCATAGATCCATAACTTGTTAACAGCAAGTCTATAAGCCGCTGATCTAGCTACTGCTTCAATTCTAATCCGAAGAGGGGGAAGCTCAAGTACTCTGTCCAGAGCCAACTTAGGAGTTGTTCTCCATGCCCCGCATATGGCAAGTTCAGCCATTCTTTGAAGCTTGTCAAGTTTGAGACAAGCATTACCTTGCTGTAGTTTGTTCCACCAAACAACACACCCATACGTGATGCGTGGAAGAATCACCTGCTCGTATAACCAATGCATCATGTGAGGTTTAAGTCCCCAATTCTTACCTACAATTGACCTACACGCCCAAAAGGATCGTGTTGCCTTTTCCAAAATCATGTCCATATGCTTGTTCCAATTGAGCTTGCTATCCAAGTAAACCCCTAGATATTTAGCTTCAAAGCTGAAGTTAATACTCTGTCCATACATAGTTGGAGGACGCAGCTCTCCTAACTTATGCTTGTTCGTAAAAGGGATAACAATCGTCTTGGCTGGATTGACTGAAAGTCCAACTCCAGTGCAAAAACTTTGAACAATGCTCAGAGATCTTTGAAAAACATCCATAACAGTATTGGCAAATTTACCTTTAACCAAGATGAAGATATCATCAGCATATCCTTGAGCAAAGATGCCCCCCGAAGTGTTCAGCTCAGATAATAAATCATCTATTACCAGCGACCATAAAAGACATGAAAGATTCCCACCTTGAGGCGTTCCTTTTTTTACCCATATAAGAACCAACTTCCCGTTATGAGTCGCGTAGACGATCCTGGATTTTAACATGTTGCTAATCCAGTCGATTAGCCTTTGAGGTACACCTCTCCGATGTAAAGCATTAGTGATTACATTGAAACTTGTGTTGTCGAAAGCACCCTCAATGTCAACTAATCCCCCTACCATGAATTCCTTATCGATAAAGCCTTTCTCGATTCTGGAAACAATACAGTGCAAAGCAGCGTCAGTGGACTTACCTTGTTGGTAAGCAAACTGATATGCTGAAAGAGGTCTAATACTCAGAACCTCATCCCGTACAAATCTATCAACCAATTTCTCTAGAACCTTCAACAGAAAAGACATCAAGCTGATGGGTCTAAAAGATTTTGGATCCGCATAAGTTTCCTTTCCTGGTTTAGGAATAAACACCACTCTGACATCCCTCCATTTTCTGGGGATATAGCCAGTATCCAAACTAAACCTAAACATAACAAGCAAAAAAGGCATCAATTGATCTAAGCCTTTCTGCAGCAGTACAGGAAGAATACCATCCTCCCCTGCTGCCTTGAAAGGTTTGAGCGAGCAGATGGCCCATCTTATTCTATCTTCAGTTACTACATGCAGTGCTAAGTTACCCTCACTGGGTGATGCTATTTTCATATCATGAAAATTCCCGTTTCCATCATCAATAATGCTAGAGTCCGGGAAGTGTATCTCAAGAAGCAGTTGTAGACTTTCCCTGCTGCTATGAGTAAATGTTCCGTCTTGCTTTCTTAATGCTCCAATAGTTGTGTCAGCATTTTTCTTTGCCATTAGCTTGTGAATTCGAGCACAGTCCTCGATTTTCTCAATCTCCTCACACTTTTTCCTCCATGCATTTTGAGATGCGTCCTTGATGGCTCTATTATAGATACTTAGTGATCTACTATACCCAGATTTCAAAGAAGCCTCATGGATGCTAAATCCTTGCCTAGCGAGCTTTCTGCTCTTGTTCCATTTTCTCCTAACATCTTTCTTCATTTTTGCCAAATCATCAGTATACCAGTAGCATTTGCTCTTCTTAGCAGGTTTGCGTATAGCACAGTTTGCGTGATAAGCTTCTAGAATAGCTGTGTTTACATACAAAGATAACTCCTCCATTTCATCTATTGATGAAATGTTTGGTACTAAGCTTTGAAGCTTATTAGTAAGTACACATTTATAGCCTAACCAATCAGTATTTCTTGGATTCCTAAAACCATCACCAGAAAATAATTCTGATGCGACTTCAAACGTAATATACTTGTGATCTGAAAGCGATGGCTCTTCAGACACTTGCCAATTTAAGATTCTGTCGCTAATTGCTCTATTAGAGAAAGTAATATCAATCACTTCCTCTCTGATACTGTTGTGAAAAGTAGCCGCATTACCTTCATTCGCAATCATCAGTTCTTTAATTGCAATGAATTCTAAAAGACTATCTCCTCTAGGATTGTTATTACTACTACCCCAAACGACATTGTGAGCGTTAGCATCACAGCCGATAACCAGATTATACTTATTTGTGATACAAAAGTCGACCAACTCAGCAATGTTACTACTTGGAGGCTGGTAATCAGAATCATAGGGAAAATAACCACTACAGAAAATGATTTCTTCAAGCACTCCAGATGCATTCCTGAAAGATACTTGAATCACAACCTCATCAAGATTAGTGAATTGCTGCAGCATAAAACAATCAATACCTTTTCTTATCAAGATACATGATCTTATTTTACCCCCATTATTCTTACAAAGAATAGAACCATTATTTATCTCCAAAATTACCTTATTATCCTTAATATATGGCTCCTGAATAAGAACCATATCATAATATCCTTGATCAAAATATCTGCCGATCTCAAGCGCAGCTGCTTTGCAATGTTGTAGATTAATTTGACAAATTTTCATACAATCTAAACATTACAGCAGCTAAGATTCTTTACAAAAGACACTTTATGAAAAATGATTGAAAGATCAATATTTGCCATTAGGCTTCTGATTATTGTTTGTCGGAATGCTAAAGAGGTCGAATTTCATAGGAAATCAGACTTAAACAGAATGTCAAATGTTCAACAGTTCACGAGGGGAATTAAGTTTATCAAAGGATTGTTGCCGATGAAGCTTTTCTTTCTTACATTTATATATTCTATAGTGAAGGAAGGATTTGTAAGGAGTTCATGACTCAAAATTTATTATTGAAAATGATTGAATAGTTAATTAACTATTCATAAGTTGTTACTACATGCTTATTCACGAATGTTCTGTCTTTGATGCTATGAATTTATTAAACACCAAGTGAATGAGATTTAATTAAATTTTCCTGATTAAACAGCTCAGAAAATTTGATTTAAATTATTTTCATTTGTAAGTTCCTTGAAATTGATCAACAGATCAATAAACTCGTTTATTTCAGGTGTGTATTTACATAGACGCATAAACATAGACTGTCAAATTCAAATTGTCAGGCACAAACTTAAACGGCTAGACATCAAATAGATTCAAATCCAGCCAAAATGCAACTTGATTGAACTTTTCATGCTATGGTATTTCAGTCCTTCCTCTAATAACCATTTATAATGTTTTATCAGCCTACCAAAAGCCTGTAATAATTTTTGAATAATAATTTTAATAATCGGAGACTTAATAACCCAAGTAATAACAGTTCAAACTATAATTTTAATCATTTTCTCAATCAAAATGGAAAAAGATCAAAATAAATCTATGTGGGATCGACTCAATAGTTTAATTTTTAAAATAAAACACATTATGAAGTCAAATAAAAATAATTTCTTTCGAAATATAACTTTAGCAATATCAAAAAAAAATACGATACTGAAAAGGGTTTCATTTTTGTGTGCTGAGAGTTTCCTTTTTATTGAAAATCATTTTCATATACGGTAGTAAATATATAAAAATTATAATTTTAACTATTGTAACGGTCTCATTGGGACAGTTCACTTAAAATGTTCCATTGAAAAAATACTTTTTGACTTTATTGATAGTCTATTGATAGACATCAGAGGCGTAGCAAGGCAGGGCCCCCCACCCTCTATTTTTTGGAATTTTTTTTCAATTTAGGGTTTTGTAACAAGATGTCTTAAATTCTCAGAACCCCCGTTTTTCTTCTAAAAGGCGTTACCTATTAATTTAAAAACCCAATATTTATTTTTATATTATTATTTTTTCGATGTGACAAATAACTGCAATAAGTTAAAATAGTTTGCAATGGAAATGGATTTCAAAGCATTTATGGCTACTACATTTATGGTTTATTAAGTTCAATTTTTAAGAATCTAGCAGCGTTAAAAATAACTAATCTGCAGTTAACTAGATTTAAGTAAATCATACAACTAAAATTCGGTTTTGTTACTCTGGGGCCAGTTTCTAGGGCTCCTTCTGTACTCTACTCTAGTCACAGATCAATTTTATTTATACCCCGTGTTGTGGACCATCGTTTTTTATTCCTACGTTAGGGTGCCCAAGGACGCCATAGAAATCAGCTCCTGGTGTCAAGTAATTGCACTTATAATCTCAGTTGACCTCCTTTACCGCGACACTATAAGAAGTTAAATAAATCATTAAAAATAATCAGTGTAAAACAAAATTAAATACATAATTATAGCAACACTTAAGCCTAAGAGACAAAGCATGCACCACATAATTTTTAAAAATCATGTTAAAATAATTTTCCATTATGAAATTGGCATGATTTTAAATTAAATATCATGGTCTATAGTGAAATATTTTTCGTAATTATCGTAAAAATTGGCTTTCAACTTTAACAGTTAATTTTTGATTGATATTTTTTCTATAAATATCGAATGTATTGAAATCCCACATTGGTTTCTCGACAATAATTTTACATTTTCACATGAAGCACATCAAAAGTACCTCCGTGATCAATAAATGGGTAAAAAATGCTTTGCGGTCATGATTGAATGAGATTTTGAGGGTTTTTTTTTCATTTAAAAAATTTACCTCAGTGAGAATTTACAGAAAAGAATCAATCACTTATGATGTCTATCATTTGGGGGTTCTAAAATTTGGGGAGGTCTTAAAATCCAATTTTTCATAAACATCATAAGAGAAAGAACCAAAGCCAATCAAATGAAAACGTTTAAAATTACTTTAAAAATTTAAAACCCAATTAAAAGTCGTCCCATACTAATTTTATGTTCCCAATCTCTCAATCGAGGTTGACAAAATGTTTTACTAATTTCCTTTCTTCTTTTTATTCTTTCTTTCAGATAACAAACACAACTAATGGTAGCGTAGTAATATCAACATTAACCTTTTTACCAGTGCCATCGGACGATAATACAAAACTCAAGTGTGAAGGATCCAATCCGAGGCTACCGAATTCCGCTTTGGAGGACACATTAATAATGAATGTTTTGTGTAAGTCTTTATGAGCACTTTGTGTCTCCTTACTGTTATCGTTTTTGATGGTTTTTTGGCCTTTTTTCTCCTTGACTGTGACTTTGTAAGCCCCCACAGCTGGAAATAAAATTCTCTTCTCTATACGGACACACAATATTTTGAAAAAAGATCAAATCTTCAACTTTATCCTATTATCCCTACAAAAAATGAGAAGTTTATTCTGGTTTTGAATTGTTCTGATGAGTATGAGACGTGCATAAGTGTATTACAGCCATAAAATAAAGCTCCGTTCTATTATTTCATGCACTTTTTTAAAAGACTGTGTATTGTGTTAATTTTTCGATTGTCCAGACAAGTCGCTGTGGACTTTGGTCTTCTAGCCTCTAACTTCTTCAAGTTTCAACAAACCTCGAATGACACAAGTCGGATAATCGATCATTAATCTGGCACCAAGCTGATGTGATTCTGGCATGGTGCTGGATTTAAATCGAAGCCAGCACCATACCAGAGTCATGTCGGCTTGACAACAGATTTCTATTTGATTAACCGACTTGTGCCATTTGGGATATCATCCCCCCCTCTCTTTTACTACGTCTAGTGATTTTGACTTGGCTCCAACATTCAAAAATCTTCCTTTAGATGCGCTCTACTTTAAAGGATCAGTTAACTCCACAACGTTTCCTTTTTCATATTTTAAGTATCTCTAAAGGGAGAAAACGGAACTTTTGCGTAGATTGGTCCCTCTCTATCCTCTCATTCATGACTTTTTTTTTATAGTAACATAGAGTCGTTAGACTACATGCCATAACGACACACCAACAATCTCCTTTTCATCAGTTTTCCTTTTTATTGTCTCTTCTTTTTCGGGCAATAAATTTAATTGTCGTATCTAATTTAGAAATTATCTTATCATGATGAAATTACGATTTTTTAAGCATAACACAATGGGAGGATTTTTTTTTTGGTCTCTTCTTTTATTTTATTCTCCATTGTCCTCATGCATGTATGGATGAAAAAGATGAAAAAAAAAATTATTTGACATTTGAAATGAAATGAGAAAACAAAATTTTTATTGCTTAAACACATATGAGCATGGTTTGAAGTGCTTCGAGGTATTTTGTCAATGAAATTTTTTATTTCATTTGCTTTGTCGTACTTGCTTGTTCTGTATTTGATTTTTATTACTCAAATATTTTTGTGTCTCTTGTCAAGGTTAAGTTAAGAGAAAGGTTTGAGAAATCGATAAATAACAGAGACATGTGTGCTTAAGGCAGCTTGTTACTGGGCATTAATTGAGATCAAATTTGCAGGCACAGACTTAAGTCCAAACTGAATTTTCTTGCAATTATTTTAGCAGAAATTATTGGAATATGCGATTCCATGTAATAGCCAGTCAACGATAAATCATGTGGTGCAAGGGAACAGTAAAAAGAGTGTAACTTATATATGGTATTTATAGCTCAGTTGTAGGAGCATGCGACCGGAAATCGTAAGACGTGGGTTCGTGTCTCGCTCGGGATCTGTTATTCGGAGTCATACTTTTTTCGGTGGTTTTGTCATCTAGAAGTTTGCTTCTTCCTTCTAGATGTTTCAATAAAAATTTAGACAAAACTTTAAGAGATCTAATCTTAGACAGTCTCTAACCACATTTCATTATAACAAGAAATATCAAGCTCAGAACTAGATTTTTGATGTTTTTTGCTCGTCATGGCTGCTATAGGGTAAGCTTCCCTAGCCTATTATTCAAGAAAATTTGCAACGCTGTGGGATTTCAAATAGAATTTAATCGTTACTACAGTAAATGCATCGGGTAGCCCTATCAACTAGCCTCTATTTCATACAAAAAAGAAAAGAATGAAAAGTAGTAAGATTTTGAATCATCGCTAAAATACTGTTAAGTCCCTAATAATGTCAGATGAAGCATACCCTCCATCTTCCCCATAAGTGAATAATAATATTCTCTTCAAGTATAGTTGTTTAATTAATTCCGAGAATTCCCACATGAAGTTTACGCCTAATAAGCACAAGTCTTCACACTACATCTTCCATGTTAACGCCCAAATCGGAACAACAATCAATTTCCATACAAAAACAGTCATAAACACATACCCAAGAAATCATTTAAAATCAAGTCAAGTACTCCAAAATCTTCAAGCTAATTAGGAGAATTTCTAATGACAAAAGGTGCGAAATGCGAACGTACGTGACCCCCATAATTATTGATTCACTTAATTTGGCTTGAGAAAATGTCTTGAAATTTCAGTTGAAGGTTTTTGAGAGTAAAATCTATAAATATCAATGCCACAGAGACACATATACACACACATGCTTATGTGACACAAAATTTAATGAAATCAAACCTTTATGAAATTAATTTGCAAAACATTTTGCTTTTAACCTAATTTTCATCGTCTTGATATTTGACGACAATCATCTAAAATGAGCCAAAGTGGTTCTCATCATTAAAGTGAAACTTCCTTTCTAAAATTGAAATATTTTTTTTCACTTAATTATTTATTTCTTGTCTTTTACTCACTCACTGCTTCTATTTTGTGCTTGAAACATTTCATGATCTTAAGTGGATATCAAATTATATAAAGGAAAAGTGGAAATAAATTGCATGTTAAGGGGAAATATTTAGTTTCAAAGTCGACAAAGAAAAATTTCATAAAAATGAACATTTTTCATATTTTTTAAAAAAAACTTCAAAAAATAAGGAAAGATTGGGAATGAGGGACATGAAATATTTCAAAGTAATTTTCGTTGACATTGTGTGAGTGAAGATAAGAACAGGGAAATTTTTCATTTTTTTTTAAATAGACAGCAATGGTTTGGTGTAGAATTTATGGGAAGTAAATTGAGATGGGAAGTGAATTTGGCGCATTTTATGTTATTAGTTGAAGAATGTTTTATGAAAGTACTTTAGAGTTCCACAATCATAATTAAAATGGTACCCGAATGCCAAATGAGTTGAAGGTAAAGCATGTGTTACTTGGTGCCAAAAGTAACGTGAGGTCTCCACTTCTAGTCTTGCTCTAGTCTTAGATACACTTATTTATATTTTTATAATTTAGGACCTAAGGTAGCTGTAAAAACAGCCCTGGATCAGCTTGGGACTGCTTAGAACCAAGTTTGGTATGAAACTGACAACAAGCCAGCATAACCTGCACGATTTCAAGGCTATCCAAAAAAAAGTCATTTAAACTTCAAATTGTAATCGATTAAATATAAATTTTATGTTAGGGTGCATACAAGTAGTGCTTGTTGCTCTAGTTAAGCATCTCAAATGCCTCATGACGTTAAGGATGGCAAAATGAATATCCAACATCTACATTCTAGTAAATAAAGCGCTAAAAACTAGAAAATTTGCCACAATAAATGCTAATAGACGCTTGTTCTTCATTCATGCTAAGAATACGCTTACAATGACTAAGGAAGAGCTCATAACCCCTTTTGAGTAATATAAAAGTAAAAGAAAAGTTAGTGACTAAAGAGCTTAAAGCTTCGTTTTCATCATAACATATTTCATAAGATAATATGAAACTTAAGAGGATTCAAACATTTTTCAAAATATAAGAACTTTCGTTTTGCTGCTTCTCTACAATCTTTATTGTATGACAGTTGAAAGGAAATAATTTTCCACATTTTAAGTTCAAAAAAAGCAGCTGTAAATTTTTGTTCATAAGAACATAAAACGTAAAAAATCGTAAAGAAGAGCAAAAGTTGATAAAGAAAATTTTCGATTTTTTTTTGTTTTAAAACTTTTTTTTTTGCTTTCGTGTCTTCAAGCAATGAATTGAGCTTTTTATAAGACTCATCAATGAAATTAAAATATCTTGAACTCATTACTGCTTTCTTCGTTGTTGGAAAGTTTACTGAGAGTTTTAGAAAAATAAGGACAAATGAGGAACTAAGTTTAATGGAGGTAGATTAGAATCTGAAGAAAAACAGGAATAAAGATTTTTATCTAATTTTGGGACTTTTCAATTCTTTTTTTTTCTTCTAAATGAGTTGTGGTATCTAGGCAAAGTGGAATCTGGAGAATCGAGGAATGTAAATACGAATCTGCCAGTGATAGAGTTAGGCTTCTGTGGCACGAGTGGCTAGGCAACAGATCAGATATTTATAGAACCCTCCGTTGTGAGGACATTGGTTCGATTCCCACCAGAGACTGATCTCTCAATAATTACATAGTGGTGTAGATATGACAAGGATTCGCACCACATCTGTGATTCTCAAGCTTTGGCACGCTTGACATTTTTTGGTAGATTCTTGTGGTTCAATTAGATTCTATAAAAGTTTTGTTTAAACTCAATTTTAATTGCAAACTACGATACTTAATGTCAAGTGTCAGCTGACAAACATTTTGGATGTCTTCTGAATAGATTCAAACTAGAAAAAGTGGCAAGCATAGTCAAATAGTTCATAATCTTATTAAATGCCAATTCACTCAGAAACCTACTTCATCCCGAATAAATTTGAGCCCACTTAGCATTCCTGCAAGGCAAAAACTTAATGTATTTAAAAACATATTTTGCCATAAATTCATAAAGTCAAAAGTTATTTGTTTTGTTGACAAAAACCTCCTTGCACACTTTAATTCCTGTTGCAAACAAAATCCTTCAGAATACGTAAGTGTGGAAAATTTCTAATGCAACTTCCCATAAATTTGTATTCTTCTCATACATTAACATCTTCAGTCACATTCAAGGCTATAAAATAAATTTAAATTCTTTCATGTCCCAATAACTCATCTCATCTCGTGAATTATTAAAATGGAAATCAAAGAAAATAAAATTTCCATAATTTTCTACGCAAGTGAACAAGCCTTCAAACCAGAAACGTATCAAAAACAAGAGAAAACTGGAATTGCACCCACGAGAAAAATTGTCAAAAGAGCATACGAAAAGCATTCTGTGTGACTTCTTTTAACTACCGTGCTGAAAATCTTCCGAGCTTATCTGAATTTATTTGAGTGCTTTGTGAAACTTCTTTTTAAGGTAATCGTTTATCTAATCTCATATAGTTCCAAATATTCGTATCTGATGAAGTATTAAAAGTTGATACACTGCCTGGAAGTTCATAATCCACTCCCTTCAATCACATAAATTGCCTTTCCTTTAAAGACCCAATTTTGTAAATTTAAGAAAAAAGAATGAAAAGATGAAGAAAATTTATTCATAAAAAGTTATATTTACTGTAAAAATAGTATAGAAGAGAGATAGACACAGCAATGAAGATAAAAGTAAGGTTTCTTTTTTCCCAAAACGAAAGTATCTCATTCAAGTTTGTTGACAATATTATCGTTATTGCTATTATTGTTATTATAAAAAATGGAACTTACACTTTTTTTTCTCTCATATCTTTTCCTCGATGAAAAACACAGATCCACCAGAAGTGACGCTTACGCTTGGATCAACACTTAATCCCGATGACATCAAAGAAAATGACGATGTTTATTTTGAGTGTAATGTTAAGGCAAACCCAAGTACTGTCAGGATAGCATGGTCGCATGATGTGAGTATTTTATTTTATTTATTTCTGATTGATTAAAGTTTAAGCCGGGTATCTGTAAAGTAAAGAAGTATTGAAATATGCAGTTTAAAATGGTAATTAAATTGACTTAAACTGACACGAGTTTAAACACAAAAATATACGTAATTATGGAATTTTAAACTACAAACAAACTGACAGAGCAAAGACAGAAAATATTATTGAATACTCCTGGCTGCTTCATGAGAACTGAACAACAATCAACTTCGAGGTAAAAGGTAAAGCATGGAGAGGGCCCAGTTTTTTGGGCTAGAGGCACTGCAATTCAAATTAGAACAGAATCTTTTGCACCACAACCTTTAGACCTACAGTTTATAGTGAAATCCGAACTACTTGCAAGCTTTGCACATTGCAAAGTCAAGAGTACGTCTAAAGACCTGATGTACCCTGCAATGTACCTAGTCATGATTCGTGTGTGCATGATGCTATAATGAAATCATCTAGATGCTAGTATATCCTAGTAAACTTAGCAAAGGAGCCACTTTGCCAAAAACCTCAAAACTTCACCCAACACACGAAGCGAGCTTCGTTACTAGAAAAGTGAAATGGAAAAAGAGCTTCTAAAACTTGACTTGGTGTGGGATTGAACCAAGAACTTTAGGCACGTAAGGCCAACGCTCTCCCACTTAGACCACTGATGGCATTTCACCTATCTCAGCTAAATGAATATATATTTTGTTTGAATCATCTAACAATATGTGGATCCGCCCCTTCTCTCTGCCTCATGCCTCTCACCATCTTCTATAAACTCGAACAATGACTTATATAGCCTAATTTATCAATGCGAGAGCAAAGCTTTTGAAGCCGAATTGTTAAACAGTAGTTCAGTAATCTTTTAACGAGAGTTTGATTCCTATTAGAGACCGATCTCTCTATGTCAGTGGTATGCAACATTTTTGTGTCACGGCACACTTGGTGGTAAGCCATGAGCAAAACTGCAAACAGCATAAGGTTTGTGGAAATTCAATAATTGGTTCATGGCACACTAGTGTGCCGGGGCACACGTTATATAGCGTTACATAGTTTTTCAAATTTATAGGTTATGTCTGAACTTAGGTTTCATTGATAATGTAGCCGAGATGCATTTGAAGCACTTTGGAACATGAAAAGATTTGACATTAGTGTGTCATGACACACAGTTTGAGAGCCACTGTCAGAGAGTGTTGTCGAATTGATTCGTGCAGTACCCGCGAACCCTTATCTAAAATCTATTTTAAATAATAATATTTCAATTAACAAATTACACCAATTATTCACGCATTCCATCCCCTCCACAAACAACAAAAATATCCAATTATCCAGTCATAATATATTCATGAGAGCATTTGTTTCACAAATTATCGCTAAAACGATTTTGTTAGAAAAATAGAAAAGAGAAGAAAAAAATGTTATTTAACCATCCCATCACCTCCCCTAGCTCTTTTTGTGTTGCCACTCGATCAACAAAAAGCAACATTTGCATGAATGTGTGCGATAATTTTTCAACAAATAAAATCGCTTTAAAAATTATTCCCTGTCAACAATATCAACTGGCACTATGTAGCTCGTTTTTCTTCTTCTTCTTTATTATATATGTGCTATATTTGCAAGCGTGGTGGGTGTTTTGCGAGAAAATAGATAAAAGTTATGGCGGTATACTGTGCTGGAGAGGATAGTGAAGGGAAAAATGAGAAAAAGAACACACACAAATTTCCATATTTACGAGCATGACTATAGAAATGTCCAAAATAAAAATGATAAATAAAAAATATATATTTAAGGCATCATGGCAAGCTTCTCGTCGTTGCTCTTTTGACTATTAAGCTTCCCTTTCTGTTATGCTTTCTTTTTGCCATTGGAAGTTCAAATCGTTGTGTATTTTTGCTTTCATTTTGACTGGATTGTTTAGTTATGGTTGACTAGTTGAATGAATGAACAGGAAAATTGAGCAAGCATCATGTTGATTGCAATTGAAATTTAAATAAATATTTTAACTTATTTTGAGAGCTTTACGACTGCGATATTGAATTTTGTGTTTTTAAATTCAATCTTTCATAATTTTTGTGATTTATATTGAGATTCTTATTCTGGAACTTAAGTACTCGAGGTGTAGGGAAGGGCTCGAGAGAAGGGTTCAGTATGCTTTCTCGCTATCGGGATCGGGATCGGGATTTCCCGGGATTTACCGATCCCGATCAATCCCGGGATCCCGAAATTTATCGGGATCGGGATTGAAAATCCCGGTTTTTTAGTTTAGGAAATTATTGATGTTTTAGAACCTGCTAAATACGCGACAGAAGAATTATTGCGTAAATCAAACGATTTATTAATTGCTGAAGGAACAATTAACTTTTTGCTAGACGAATTGTTGCTACAAGGAACATTATTGTCTCAAAAGGTTTACCATATGAATTGCGCTCGCATAGGTGCACGAAGAAATGGAACATTAATTGACTTAATACTTTACCTGAATAATCCTCAATATATTTCTTTAGACAAGCATTTTAAGTCGTCAACAAAAGCTGCAATACATAAACTTGGCATTGACTTATTGAAGAAGTATTTTGTCAAAAACTCTACAAATGGAGCTATGGAAGCTTCAACATCCAGTGCAAATCAAATCCAACCGTCAAACATTTCTATTCGAGATAGACTGAAACTAAGCATATCTGAATATACATCATTAACAACAGATGCAGCAGCAACAAAACCAAATAACTTGAAAAGAGAGTTTAATTGGTATGACAAAAATAAGAAGAGAACCGTTTTATTAGATCAACTTTACGATTCATTGATAACAATGCAGCCGACCTCAACTCAAAGCGAACGAAATTTCTCTATTAGTAACAACATTCTTACAAAACAAAGAAAACGTTTACTTGACAAGAATCTAAATGCAATTGCATTTGTTAAAAGTTTTTTCATTAATGCTTAATTTTTATTATTATATTCACACCGTTTTCTATAACCTTTTAACTTACATCTTTATCAACATTTATTTTCTATTTTTGTTTATGTTCACATTTCAAAGGAAACATGGATTAAAACATCTATCTTGTAACACATAAAGTATAACTAATTAAATAAGGAATAAATGACCGTACAAGTAGCAAAAAAATATATAATTTTTTTTGGGAAAAAAAGCAGAAAAATGCTGTTTTTTAAATTTTTTTACATATTCGGGATTCCCGGGATTTCCCGGGAAATCCCGAAAAATTTCAATCCCGATCCCGATCCCGAAAATTTGTCGGGACCGGGATTTCGAGAAAGCATAGGGTTCAGCCTTTCCGAGGTAGATTTGAGATAAAAATTGTTTAGAATCAACTGTTTCATCAAGAAAATAAGGCATTATACCAGTGTTGTCCAAACTGTGTGCCGCGGCACATTGGTGTGCCGTAGAAAAAAATGGGAAAATACGCAAGGCGCATGCTCTGTGCGACTTTGATCATGGCTTACCCCTTAAGTGTGCCGTGGCTCCAAAAGTTTGGACAACACTGCTATAGTACCTTGTTTTTTTGATGATACTTGAGGATTTTTATCTTAAGTTCCAGAATAAGAATCCACAGAATGGCTCTAGGTGGTTCACGATTGGGCAAAATTGAAAAAGCTATAATTAAAATCTTTTTGTGACTTTTGAATCCGAATGGATTATTTTCATGTAGAAAGCATTTAAATTTGACTTATATGCCAAATTTCAGTCAAATTGTTGCTACTTTTAAGATTATGACTGTTTGAAATTGAAAACCAGTGAAAATTATAATTATTTTTAAAAACTTATTTAAAGCATGAATTCCTTTAAATGTCGATAGATTTCAAAAATTGGTTTTCGATTCCTAAAAGTGATGACCCGATTTAGGACCGCTCTCAAATACATTATTTTTTAAAATTTCTCAATTATTGTCCATCCTTTTAATTTTGAAAAAATTACTAGCCACGGGGGTCTAATATTTTGTAATTCCTAATTCAAAAAAAGTCAAAATGCATTGAATTTTAGATTTCAAATCATCAATCTAAAAATGCATCAAAATCCTTTGTCGACTAGCAATTGTAAAATTTCTTACTTACTCTTTGAATATTTGAAAAATTTATGTAATCGCATTTTTAGCTTACAGAAATTGTATTGCAAAGTTTATATGAATAAGAGAGCAATAACTCATAGCACCTCTTTTTTTACCAGAAATTATTACAACTCTACTTTATTATACGTTCTCATATTGCTGCTCCATTCCTTTGTGTACTTTTTTTTACAACGTGCATATATCTCTTATGGCGTAGCATAATTTTCTGAAAAGAACTGAAAATTCTGTTTTATTTGAATTTTATTTTTTTTATATATTTTTCTTTTATTTTTCGAGCTCTCGCTTTTTTTTGTGTGTAACTTTTTAATTTCTTCATAACGAGTTATAAGAAAGAACGTGTTTGAGAACGAATGATATAACCGTACGTACGTACATACATATGAATATATATCAAGTTAATAAAGAGTTTGAGGTTTGATGAATGATATATGTGTAGTAATTACTATAGTGATTTATATCACATACAAACGGTGGCTTATGATGAATAGTAATTAGATGTTTAATATACAAACACTCATGCTGTTGTGGCATACAAAATGAAATTAAGTAGTCAAAAGTTATGTACGGAATTTGACTGTGAGAAAAATAAAATGGCATGAATAGAACTGTCGAGGGAGCTTTTTGTTGTACATTTGTAATGAGCTCTATGAGTGATTTTATCAAAAAAAAATGGCTAGTACTGTGGCGATGATAGATTGTTCCAAACAGCAGGTGGATAATATTTAGCTGACAGTTTCAAGCAGTAATCTGTAAAGGACTTTTTAAGGACTGACAAAAATAATTTTGAATATCATTGGGGGAAGAGAGGCTACAATTCCAAACAAAAAATGATGCGACAGATAATTCGAGGGCTTTTTGATGGACGTTATTGACGAATGACCCTTATTAAAAATAACAACAACAACTATATAAGATTAACATGTTTTTATAAAACTTTTTATTTTAACTGTATTATTCCTTAATCAAGCTCAATTTCCTTCAATTCAGCAAATGCTGTCCTAATGTTCCTGTAACTTTCGATGTAATTTTCAATGGCATGTTCGTTCATTTCAAACACATTAGGAGGCAACAAATCTTCAGAAGCATTTGGATTTTCCATCCGTAAATAGCTCAGCAAATTCCCATAAACTCTTTCTCCAATTTCGGATGCTACTTCCATGTTTGATTCACGAATCAGTTGTGTCTTAAGATTCTTTAGACAGTCCAGAGAATCAAGGTTCAATGTTAAAATATTTTCCAAATTTTCACAAGTTGCTTTCATTTCCATTTTTGCTATTTTGAGTTCCTGTTGATATTTTGTATCTTCTTGTTGTCTTGCTTGCCCTTCTTCTGGTCTACTTAGTGTCAAGCTCTCTAATCTTGATTCCAAGCAATTCAAATGGATTTCAGTTTGTTGTGTCATTAAGCAGTCAGCTTGTAAAGTATGTCCACAATCAATTGTATTGAATTGATTGAAATTAGCACTTAAGCAAATTGAACATTGAAAAGCCATTCCTTTGAATCCTTTTGTGATGTTTGTTTTGTAATTTATAAATTGTTACTCTTTGCTGATCAGTGATTAGCTATTGCTTTATATAGCCTTATTGATTTCAAAGTTTACGCATTTCTGAAAGCATAAACTTTCTGTATTTACCTGCAATATGAATACTAATCAATGTAATTTTGACAATTGAGAAACTTCAAGAAATCGTAATTTTCTCACCTAAAACCTCAAAGACCATCCAGTATTTGTAGAGATAAGCATAAACTTTACACGATTCTTCTAATCTGCATATCCAACGGAATTGCTCTAATACTTGTGATAAAAAATAATAATATTAGCAATCTACACCTGAAGCTTGCCTGAAGCATAATGATTCAGAATTTTGGAATGGAAAATTGTAGGCTTCTCGCATATTTTCCGGCTATAATTTCCTCACATCGTACAGACAAATATTCGCGTGTATTATTTAATGAAATTTCCCTCATTTTCTGTTTGATGAACGATCTCATTTTTATGCCCTAATAATTCTTTTATCTTCCCAACCAATGAAGGAATAAAATTCATGTTATTTTTTCCTATGAATAATAATTAGCAATAAAAATCGAAGCTTCCATCTCAGCGAAGAACAAACGCCTCAATATTTATTTTAAGATTAAACTTTTACTTACTTACTTGGTAGGGGTGCACGTGGGCCCATTGCCGCGTTTAGTGATCGTCTAAAGACAGCTCTATCCGTTTCAGGATATTAAGGACTCTAGCGTCCTTATCAACATATCCAATCCAGGTATTCTTTTCTTCCTCTAGACCTTTTGCCTTCTATAAAGTCTGCAATAGTCACTCTAAGTACTAGAGAATCTTGTGGACGTCTAAACACGAGTCCAGCCAATTTCAAGCAATTTGCACTGAGATCCATAATAAATATTAAACAAGAGTTTTTAATTTGAAGAAATTTTACTTTTTATGACTCTATGCAAAAATACTCGCTCAAAAACTTAGGAGAACTCTTATTTAATGTCATTTCTGGATGATCATCCAGTCCATTTTTGTCAATAAGACACAAAACTATACAAAAAAGCTAGCATAAGTGAAATGAAAATTTTAAGTATTTTTTATAAAATGGCATTGCACAAGTTATATGCAGAGCAAGGCATGGACACCTGATGAAAGAATCCTTGGTTCTGGATGAAAGAATCTTTGTTCCGGATGAAATCGAATGATTCAGAGCTCAATATCTAGTCGAATTGACTCGAAATCGATTGAAAAAAATTAAGTCGACTCCAAAAAGTTTTTTAATGACCTCAAATCGACCCAAATCAATTGATCTTCTCAAAAGAAATACTTTCAAAAACTCTTAAAACAAATCACCAAAAAAATGCAATCGAAATTCATGTTCAACACTCCCCAACATGTACAATGAAGAATCCATACCACAACACAGTCAACCGTCTTTATAATCATCATTCACACTGTAAAAAGTCGTCCGTGTAAGTCTAAATATTGTACCTAACGACCCCCAGGATCAGAAGTTCACTTATCTGATGAATGAAAGTAAAGAAAAGCAAGAAAAAAATATTCATTATTGTTATCATCATTCGCTGTCTTTCTTTTGGTGCCCCCACTTCTCTTTTCTCATGAGGGTAAACCCATAAAATGTTGTGCACTTGTTCCACGGTTGGCATGAAAAATAAGAAGATGGAAAAAAAATTTTTTTGCTGCTTTTTATTCTTATTCTTCTTACATCATCTTTTTCTTCCCTCCATCCTATCCTTGACTATGCTTTTCTTGCTTGGAGTGGTGCTGTCAAGTAAACAATAAGTATAATATGCAAATAAAGATAATAAAGCGTGAGAGTAAGGAGAATAAAAAAAAAAGGCAAACGAGAAGAAAGCTGAAAACGAAAATTTATTCAAATAATACCAATGAATATTTCGTGTATTCCTTTACAGCGTGAAGAGATGGTTTGAATATGGTAAAGGAATTTTTTGTCTTGCTATTCTAAATGGTGAGGGGAGAACGCATTTCTGTCACTGTTTATTTCCAAAAGTGAATTTTATTCAAACGTAAAATTTTTATTACTTAAGATAGATATAGATCCAATTTAAGGATGGTGGGTTGAATAATTCGTAATTTTTTGGATGCATAGTTTATTGGAGAAATTTTCATAATTTTTATGTGACTTGATTTCAGAAAAATTTAATTCAATTTATTAATTTACGACATTAAGGGAGCATACGAGACTAAATCTTTATGATTCTCGAGGGGTGTCAAAATGAAAAGTCACGATTTGGAAGTTTTTGATTAGTTTGAAACTCTTGTGAACTGGATGTGCTAGTAAACAAACACTTAGATTCCTGCATGACTTAATACTTGATTTTAAGTCACTATCCCGAATGGCACAGGTCCGTAGTAATCAAAAATCCGGTACCATGCTTGTGTGATTCTGGCATGATGCTGGATTTAAATCGAAGCCAGCACCATGCCAGAGTCATACTGACTGGGCACCGGATTTTTATCCGATTGACCGACTTGAGCCATTCAGGTATGTTCAAGGTTTTCCAGTATGGAAATCCACATCAATAACACTATAAAGAAGCGGGTTTAAGCAGAAAAAAGTTAAAATTGACATTCTGCCAAGTATCTGAGCAGCCCTTCATAACTCATTGGTAAGAGTATACGGCTGGGAATCGTTAGAACGAGGGTTCGATTCTCGCTCAAGATTATTTTATGATTCTTACTGCTAAATATTCAATACTGAGTTCCAATACTGAATCAAGTTTTAAATAAGATTAGAACCTGACTTCATTACCTAAGTGTTGTAGTTTTCATATAAAGCAGCATTGATCCATTGAATCAACTTGATATCCCAGCTCTAATATGAGAACCTTCCTAATAAAACCCATTTAAAATTAAATTTAAACCATAAAGTTCTACAATCCTTTCCAGTCTTCATAAGCAGAACATAATGTGAATCATCAGAGTGCAACTTATTAAATTAAATTCCCAAAATGAGCATAAAATCTCATTTACTGTAGAAAATTTCGCTAAAATATATTTAATTTTACAGAAATTTCTACCACTTATAGCGTCTATACGTTCTTCATTCATATTATTTCACTTTTCTTTCTTCGTTTTAAGTCAGACTGTTTTCTGTGATAAACGCTCAAGTTCCGCTCCACAGAGTGCCTCATTTCATGACAAACTCTTACATATAGATAGACAGATATTATGTACATATAAAAGGATCCAAACAGAAACTGTTACAATTGGCATGAATGAAATGGAGATAGAACTGAACGAGACATGAAAAAATTTTCATAAGTCTTTAATATTTCTTTTCATTTTCCCTCATTTCCATTCAATCTTATTTCGTTTTCTTCAGATATCATCATAAACTTGTGCTTCTCGTTTTTTTTTAAAGAATGTCTGGTTTTCCAGATAATTTTATCATGCAATATAATGTGTAGTAAGTAAATGTAAAAAGCATGGCATGCCATACAACAAGCAAGCAGGGAAAAACAGCGGAACTGCGGAATATAAGCGAAAAAAAAGAAGCTTTTCCTTTTTCTATGCCTTCCCCTACTATCCATGTTGAGCAACACAACGTGAAAAGAAATATATGAGAAAAAAAAATTATAAATTTCTTTCGCTGGCTTTATGAAATGTTACACGTTACGTTTCTTTTTTGCGGTGCTGAAAATGAGAATTATGCTGTTCGACTTTCGTTATCCCCTTGCTCTTTTTTTTTGGTGACGACTGAAATTTTCTGAGCTCTTTATTTTTGTGTCTTTTTGCTTGTTCTAGCTTAGGAGTTGAGATTTATGTTGATAAATCATTGAGTTTTTAATAAATGAACTGAGAAGTTGAAGAATGTGGATGGATGATAGAATTAAGCACATATTAAAAGATATTAAGGTGTGGGTGCAGGCGCGGAACAAGGATTGTCTTGTCCCCCCTTAAACGTTTTGAACCGCAGCAAGAACACGGTCTAAAACGCTTAAAAGGGGGACAATACCCTCCTGGCTACGCGCCTTAGTAGGTACAATAGTAAAATGTCAGTCAAGCAAACCACAAAAGCGCCTCTTAAATAAAAAGTAAAAATTACACGAATTTCACTTAATACTTAAGAAAATGCAAGATTCATTCTCAAATCATTACTCAACGGAACCACAAAATTTGACCTTATAACACAAATTTCCTCCTTTCAACAAGCTATCAAACTCAATTTAGTGCACAATAAAAATCAGTAATTAAATAAAAAGCAAACAAATCAACAATTAACAAATTCAGCTCAAGGATAATTGCCAAAAAAGGAATAATCCCAAAGCATTTATAACTCAAATGAGATATTAATAAACGATTAGTAGCGACAACTTAATTAAAGTTCAAATACAATCACAATTATATTTGAAAACGTATTAATTTTCAAGTTTACTGTTTGCTTGATTTGCTGCCTATGGTACATAATGTGTTCATTTGGGAACTTAGTTGTATGATTGCAAAGTTGATTGATGCTCATTAAGTTAATTGTGAATTAGATATTAAAGCGATAAGTTTAAGACGATATAAACTCAAGGGGGATACAATAGACGGAAATCTTTATTTCCTCGTATAAACCCAATTCCTCATAAAATTATTAAGTCTAAAAATGGATCTCCAAAATACTTCAGACCCCCTAACCTAGCTACCTAACCCCATAAACATTCCACAATATGCGAATGAATGCTTTAAGGAATTTCATCAATAAATCATCAACATGCTAGCTTTGTGTTAAGAAAATACACAGATAAAAGTTTATTTAAGGATGGTGGAGCAAAAACTGCACATTTATTATTATTATTAGAAGAAAGCAGAAAGCTTTTTTGGTCAATGCATAGAAACGATGAAAATATGAGGATATTTTCTTCATAAATTCACTCTGTTGCTTCTTTTTTTGTTGGTGATGTTGTTATTTTGTGTACATGAACCTCACTTAATACGTGCTATTTTATTGAAGTTTACCATAGCATCACTTTTATATTATTGAATTAGATCATGACGAATTTTTTTTTCTTTTGTGCTTTAAGGGCAATTCTTTGGATGAGTGGAATTTGAAAAAAATGAGCTTTCATAATCCTATGTCAATGAGTTTTGTGTCAATAAAATGTTTTCTTTAATTTCATATTACTACGAAGGAATAATAAGCCTGAATTTTCGTAGATCGTTAAGCATAATTAAATCTTTACAAGTGATCTATTGAAATGTTACAACTCACCCAAATTAAGTGAAAAATTGAAAAAATATGTTTGAAAATTTTGTATTTTTTCACGGATTAAGACAAAAAAAAGCTTTATTATAACTCGATGACACAAGGAAATTGTTCAAAGAATTGAAATATGGGCAATTCTCCAGATAAGTTTTTCAAAAAATCATCCGGAGAATCAAATTTTCTCGGAAATTTTCCATTACCAAGCATAACTTTTACATTTAAATCGATGTAAAATGGCAAAAACTATTATATTTTATCTATTTAAGTCTTTGAAAGTAGCCAATAATTAAGTTTTTTCAATTTTTTTTGCAAATTACTGTCAGCAAAAAATGGAATAATCATCCGGAGAATCGAAAATTGAAGAAAAGTAAACACTAATTTTTTATTATGATTATGCAGAAATGTAGTTTTTGAGCTAATCTATCTAACCATAATCATATCACACTCTAATAATTACTATTTAAAGAGAATTTTTGATTCTTCGGTGGATTTTTTTGCTGACAGTAAAAAAATTAAGCTTTTATTTTGCAAATCCATGAAAAAAATGCAAAGCAAATATTTCATAAAAATTAAATTTTAGTCTTAATTCAACACTTCATGGTTGAATTATTGTTGATTCAGTAAGAATCAATCGTAATAAACAGTTTAAAGTTGCTTTAAGCAATCAAAACAAAGAAATTGACAAGATATTAACAGAAAAAAAATTGAAAGTAAACAGTAAATGACTTTGGATTATAAAAGCTCTTTTTTCAAAAACTCAACTCATCTGGAGAATTGCCCATATTTCAATAATTAATGACTTACAGCATATGGAAAAGCAGCTTAATTAAAGATTTTTGCCTGATCTATAACTTTGTAAAAGTTATTCAATGTGGATATCAATAGTTTTCACTAATTTTCGATTCTTCGGATGATGAAAATTGAAAATTCCGATTTCTGTCATCGAGTTATTGTCTGAACAATCCAAATAACTTAATTAATATAGCGATTAGAAGTATATGATATCAAAAGTAGTGTTCATTTTAGATTTTTACATCGATAAGAATCATAAAATCAGTGCCTCTGATGGGAAAAATCAATAAAATTTTGATTTTTTGCTGAAAATTTTTCAAAAGTCATCCAAAGAATTGCCCATAACTTGAAAAGTTTGAAGACAAGCTTTAAGAACAAAAAAAAGCTTTGAGAAAATATTTGATAATATTACAATCAACACTTGCCTTGTATCATCGGTATGCAAAGATAAAGGAATGAAGTCTGAAACAACTTCAGCATATCTGTCATTATATCAGTCTATTATAACATTCAAGATCCAAAGCTGCGTCATGGCTTTGCTACCATATAATCAAATTTAATTAATAAGGTTTAATGATTTAATGAAAATCTATTTGAATCTACCTATTTCAAAATCAAGTTCAAAAAAATTGATCGTGTGTTAGGCAAACAAAAAATTTATCAATAAGTTTAAAATATTAATATTCTTGGCGAAAACAATGAGAAATAGGACTTCAACAGCTTTAAAAACAACGAAATTTACGATGATTTTAATGGAATATCAACATTTTCTGATATCGAAAGTAATCATCTCAGTTATCATTGAAATATTGTCAAATAAGTTGAAACTTGGTTTGAAATAGTCAATAAATTCACTACATATAAGAATCTATGTCTACTGGAAACCTACACAGGAAGGCTGTAAACTCGAGTACCAGGATTTTAAAAGTGTGGTAATTTTAAAATTTCGTTTGTCGAATTAAAGACTATTAGATTATAAATAAGAAATTTTCTTCTTTGCTGAATTCTTTCCACAATTTTGATTTTTTTTTTTCTTATTGACCTTTCTAAGTCTAAAAGCATTTTTCTCCTCTTATTTTAAGAATTTCCTTTTTTGGTAGAAAAATATTTCTCGTTTGCTTTTCAAAACTTAATTAACTCAAGTATCATAGTGATGAAAGTAAGAAATGAGAGGAAAAATCTCTAAGAAAACGAAGAAAGAAGCGAGCAGGTTGCGAAATTGTTTTTGATTAAAAAAAATTTCCTCCTTTTTTTAAAAAAAAAAAAGAAAGAAAGATTATTAAATGTGTTTAAGTGAATGAAGGAGACGAAGAAAGGGTTTAAATATAAAAGCAGTACTAGGTCGAATGGAAAAACAATGAAAAAAGGGAAAAATTGTTTAACTCATTTATTCCCTTTTTTGATTATGCAACAACATTATCATTACAAAACCTCATTTTATTTTAAAATTGTTGAAGGAATAAAAATGAAATTGAGATTGGGATCTTCCATAAATGATTCTCAATTTCTTGGTAGGAGGGGTGGGCCTTGATACTTCCTTTAAAAAAAGAAAACATCTTTGTATGAAAGTTGTATTGTAAATCCAGCTACAGAGTCTTTTTTCAGACTCCAGCTAAGGGAGGCTGGAGATCACAATTCATCTGTAAAGCCAGCGATGTATGTATGTATGCATGGCGGATGAGAAATCTACAATTTCATTTACGAATGCTTCCTTATTGTAGATAAAATAATTTTCTCAAACTAAAGAACTGACCATAAAAGAATTTACAGTAAGAATTGGACTTTTATAATCGAAAATTTCAATTACTTAATGCTTTACAGATACAAATACAAATACTCTTAAACAATCTGAAATTTTAACCAACTCACTTCCAAAATAATAATAATTTTATCTTGTTCTCATCCTCAGGGCATACCAGTTACACAAAACGTATCATGGGGTGTCATCATTTCGACAAGATCATTAGTATTGCAACGAGTTGGGCGAAACCATTCCGGAATGTATGCATGTTCTGCTGCAAATGACCGAGGAGAGACACAGAGTTCACTGGTGTCATTAAGGGTTCACTGTAAGTATAAAGCTATGTATGTCTATGACATTAAAAATCAATTTACCTTCCCTTGTAAAAGCACTTCAATATGTGAGTGGATTAATACAATTAATGTAATGCATTTTATATCAATAAATTTAAAAGGCATTATAGCATTTTATGTCTTTGTAAGTAGACATACATTCAATGGAACATAGACAGCGCAGACTGGAAAAACTATTAAAGCAATGTGTTTCATTGCCATAGTCAATTTGAATGTAAATTGCCTTTGACGAAGAAAAAAGAAAAATGAGACAAAAAAATTTTTTTGTTCCTTTTTACCATTTTTTCCACTTCATACCCATCATAAAGCACAGCACATCAGCATAAAATGTGGAGCTGAAAATTTCTTTTCGACTTTGTACAATGAGATGTAATTTTTCTGCTATTTAGCAGTGTTTTGCTTAAATTTGACCCGATTTTGCTTTTTTTTAAAGGGGAAAACAACATATTGAGAAAAATATTTTTTTTGAAATCTTTAATAACTTATAAAATAACTTAGAAAATTAATTTGAATTTTTATAAAAAAAAAATCCCCATCATGTTGTTATCCCCTTGCTCTCTTCACTTTCATGCAGTAGGAACTGTTATGGAAAATGTGCTGATGTTAGCAATGTTACTGCAACCTTATTAATTTGTATTGTGGTTTAAGCAGATTTCGTTTATTTTGACCTCGGAACTAAACTGTTTGAATCAGAATTATCATATTATAAACACACATTGAACATGTTTTTAAGTTTTTTTAGTATAACAAAAATATTATGGAACATTCTTGTAGTTCTAGATGCTTTAGAGAATATTTGCAGGCGACAATACAGTTTAAAAATCTGGCACTTAAAATGTTTGTGCCTGATTAACGTTTAATCTTGTGCAGTGCTTTCCAAACCATGTGTTGCAGCGCACTACTGTTGCGTGGATTTTTTTTTAAATTGAAACAAGCCGCATGCTGTGTGCGACTTCGGTCATGGCTTACCAATAAAGTGTGCCGTGGCTCAATAAGTTTGGGTAACACTGATCTAGCACGAATGGCACGAGTCGGTTAATCGATCAGAATTCCGGTACCAAGCTGGTGTAACTCTGGCATGGTACCGGTTTTAAAACGAAACCAGCATCAGAGTCAGATTTCTATTCGATTAACCGACTTGTGCTATTCGCGTGGTGTATAAAGTCATATATAGGCTAATCTGCCATTGCAAAAGGAACGCCTCTGTAGCCGAGGGGTTAGAAAATTTATTTGTAATCTGCATCCACATTTCTAAAAGGTCCCGGGTTTAATTCCTATTAGAACTCATTTTCTTAATCATTAAAGATTGTATTCATAAAATGACAAGGATTCGGATCCAATTTGATTTGAGGGGGTATTTTGTTCCAGAAAAATTCTGTTCAAATCGAATCTACTCAAATCGAGGACCCATAGTATAACAAGCATTTATGCATGACTTATTAAAGCTGAAATACTTGCATGCTTTAAAGTCAAATTTCAATTTTTAATAGCATACCAACTTTTGGTACAATCTCAAAAAAAAATTAATCAAATGAAATTTCACTAAAATTAAGCTTCATCGTGCAGTTAAGCAAGCAAAACTTTTGATTGCTCTCGTTCAAATATTAAAATTCTCAGAATAATTCACTGCGAAATTTCAATTCGAATGAAACTTCATAAATGCTTTGAGAAGATCCAAAAATGAAATTTGTGAGACAGACCAAAACATTAAATGCTTCAATTCATTCTGAACTGTTAAATATGAAATGGGGTGTAGAAAATTAAAACTATTGAAGGAACAGGAAAAAAAATCAAAACTATAGACTTGACTATTGTTATATCAACTTTAATAGTCACTAAAAAAATTCATATATGAAATTATGATATAAAATACAAATTTAAATGCTCTCTGTTCCTCATTCATTTCCTCTTGATTTCATACAAAAAAAAATATTGTGAATGAGTGAAAGAGAAGCAGCAACCGAGATAGAGTTACATGCTTTAGTTCACCAGTTAAATACAAACAATACATAAAAATGGGTAAAATGGGAACGAGTAAATTGTTTGTTAAAATTCTGTGTTGCCGCATCATAGCAGCATCAAGCGGAATGAGAAAGAGAGTACAATTTTAATTTGCTGTGTACATAAGCACATAATAAGCGTAAAATTCAAGACAAATCCTCTTATAATTGGATATTCTTTCTCTCTCTAGTTCTTGTTTTTCTCTTTTTTTTCATTATTTTTCCATTCAATTCAACTATGTATGTAAATATGTTGTATTTTTTCATATACTATGGAATGTTAAGAAGGAGAAATTAAGTAACAAAAACCGTATAATGACAACTACATATGTTCCCTTACTCCTTCTGTTCTTAGATCTGTTCTATCCCTTTTTCTGGTGTATCATATAAATTTCATCATTATTGAGGTCTGAAATTGTCTGTGACATATTTAGTTTAGAGTTGTACATTAACTTGGTTTGAGGATGTCAGTGCTAAATAGAACTAGTGGCAAATTAGCATGTTAGTTGACAGCAATTTGAATTAGATTTGCAAAAATCCTAGGGTGGTGAATAGCAATAATGCCGTTAATTTTAAAAAATTTGAATTTTTTGCATTTTATAATAAATTTTTTAATAATTTTTTTTTATAAAAATCAATTTAATTACAATAATATTTGAGTAGATTCGATTTGAACTGGATTTTTTTGGGACAAAACAACTACTCAAATCGAGGACTCCCAGTATGTTCTTTATTTAAATTGTGATTACTAGCTTCAGGCGCGTAGCTATCCCCCTTCGTCATCAGAAATTTCTTCATTTTGTTGCGTTTTTTATGATTTCGAAATAATCTGATACGAACAATTCATGTTCGACAGACTTATCGAAAGTCTAGGGGAGTTATAATATGCACGTTCGAAAAGTTTAAATTTGAAAGAAACCGTTACAATTTTAGTGATTTTATTAGAGTTCTTGATCGTTTTAAAAAAGATTCAGCTATATTATGCTTCATATATATTATCATTCAATGACTACACAATATTTTCATTTAAATTTCATATAAAACTTGTTTAATTTAAGTTTTATTTTTTTGTAATTTTCGAAAATTTCTAACTGCAGGGTATGAAACTTCGAATTTTGTATGTCAGACAGACAAATAAGACATTTTCACAAGTTTTCTTGGAAACTGTAACGGTTGAAACTCTTGAATTGTTCGTATCAGGAAATAATAACCCCCCCACCCTCACTCCCTTAAATTTATTCAAACAAAATCCCCTTCTTCAAATTCCTGGCTACACCTCTGACTAGCTTTATTAAACTTTAATCATTATAATTGAGTGTTCTGGACTAGCATAATTTGTTGATAAATGTCAATTTTCTTTTTAAAAATTTTTATGGCGTACGTTTAGAAATTTTAATTTTGAAATTTAACGAGAAAATAATGTAGTTTTTGATTTCTGAACACAAGAATAAGGACCACAAAAATAAGGATTTATTTCCCCAATCAAGGGTGTGGTTCTGACGAAATGATCAAAAATTATCAAAATGTAATTTTTCAGTTCCGCACCCTTGACGCCAATTATATGGGATTTTTTCGTCTTTTTTATGCTGACCGAAACTTAAGTTATCCATTCCCACTCCTGCTACTAATTCACTGCCAAATTTTTAAAAAATCATGATGAAATTAAAACATTTTTAACTTCAAAAATCATCCAATCTCTTTTCTTCAACGAGTATAAGTTCCTAGTAATCACAAAAACAGTATATGCTCAGATTCATACAGTATATCTCCATTTTAATTGTAAACATTTCTACTAAGTTCCAAAAAAAAGAGATAATATTTAAAATGTACATTTAAGTAGAATTAAATATTCGTTAGAACTGTCATTTGCATAGAGAGTGAGGAAGAGAGATAGAAAGTGAAAAGATTATGAGAAGAAGAATGAGATTCACAACTGTAAAAAAACGCATACGAGCTTTGAATATTTCATGAAACGATGAGGAGTGGAATGAAAAAGAAAAAAAATAAATAAAATGGAAATGGATTTTTCGTTCAGTTCTCTAGAGAGAGTTTTTCATGCGTTTAAAATAAAAAGCAGTAGATTTGAGATATGAAAAATTCATCTCTGTGGCAGAAATGAAATGAGAATTTATTCATTTTTTTCGAAATTTTTTTATTTCCTTCCTCACTGATATGACAATTAATGTAATTTGAATTAATGGGAAAATTAATTGCTTGATAAGTGGAATGATAATAATTTGATTGAAAGCAATTTGATGCTTAACGTTACGCATACAAAATTATTTTGTTGCTTTTCATTTTGAAAATGCTTTGAGGTTTTGAGCAACTTAATTTTTTGTGGTAAGTTGAATTCAATGAATCCACATATTTGCCTCTGATCTGTGGTGTACTGCTTTAAATTAGTTACTTCATTTTACATGATCTCTAAAAGGCCTTTTTAACGAAGTTTTTTCAACTCGTCAGTTTATTAATTAATGATTTGTGTCATCTGCCTGATTCAATCCAAGGGTGTGGAACTGATAAATTACAGATTGTTTCATTTTTGACCTTTTTGATCATTTTTGACCTTTTTTGATCATTTTGGATCATTTTTGACACTATTTTAAATCATTTTTGACCTTTTTTGATCATTTTTGACCTTTTTTTGATCATTTTGGACCTTTTTGATTATTTTTAAATACTTATGATCATTTCATCAGTTCCACACCCTTGATTCAATCATTTATTATCAGTGTTGCATTCTGGCCATTTCTCTGAATCAGATAAATTCTGAGACAGAAAATTTCTTCATAAAGATCGATATTACATGTAGATAGAAAATCTAATCTACACAAAGATTATTTCTAGATATAGATTCTGTCTACATGTAGATTTAATGTAGATGTCTACAATTCTACATTCTTCTCTGATGTAGACCTGGAAAAAATGTAGAATTGTAGACATCTACATCGAATCTTTACGTAGACAGAATCTTTATATAGAAACTATCTTTGTGTAGATTAGATTTTCTATCTTCATGTAGAATCGATCTTTATGAAGAAAGTTCCTTAGCTAGACAAAAACTATTGAAGAATCTACATTCTTCATCTAGTGTAGACATCTACATTTGCAACACTGTTTATTATACACAACTTTTAAAAAATTCATGTCCATTTTCCACAGTACTTAGTACAATAGTTGTGGATGTATTTCCATTTGAGAGACATTCGCATTTCATGCGATAAACTATTGAATTAAGCTCCTTAGAGAACAACAGGTTGTTTGACAAACTTATGACATGAGAAAGAAAATCAACAATTTACTCACAACATTCGTGACATACTTAAACTGTTGGGAGTTGATTGCTCTCCTTTTTGTGATGAACTTTAATGTTGTGACTTTTTCTGAGATTTTTTTTTTTCAAGAAAAATTGAGAAATAAGGTCCAACCAGGCGTTTAAATGTCATTTGATAATTATTTTGTTAAAAATATGAAAAATTTGCATGTAATTTTGAATCTCAAAATAAATGGAAGGGAAGTGCTTTAAGAGTTCAACATTCTCAAATTTTTCGAGACGAAATCATCAAATTGGCACAAAATTAGTACCTTTCAATTACCTTTTATTATCATTCAAGAAAAAAATCACTTCCATTTACATCCAAGAATAAGAAAGAAATGTAATTCATTTATACAATTGACATTAAGTACTCATTTGACATTTTCCATCTTCAATTTCAATGCAATTACTTCTTCACACTTTTTTTCTTCTCTGTTCGTTCTATTCATCTCATATTCATATTCTCTCTGCCGGTAAAAGAAAGTTTTGTGTCTCTCAATCTCATCACTTTACGTTACTAATTAAATGATATTTTGCTATTAAAAATGTAAACTTAAGATAAATTAAAAAGAGAGATGAGCATACAGCTGAAGGAAAAGTCGAGAAACTTTGAATAACTTTTTAAATTGAAAGAGAAGAAATGAAATAAAAAAAAAATCTTTTTGTATCCAAAATGGCAGCAACGAAAAGTTTTTTAGCTGTTACTGTAATTTTAATTAAAAATGTTCTTCTCGCAGACATCGTAAATTACTTGTTAGTTACATGTAAACACTCATTAAATGTTCACTCGTTATTGTTTATGTTTTTCTCTCTAATTTTTTTCATCTTCACTTTTTAGTGCATTTTACTAAGATTGTAGAATTAAAATTTATGCTTTAAAAGTCTGCCTGTCAATGGATGTCGAATTTAAAAAAATTACATAGGAACTTAAAAAATTCAAATTCTCGATCAAAGCTTTTAAAAGATTTACAATCAATGTTTCTTCCTTGTTTGATGGCTGGCAGGTTTAAGTTAAATCGAAAATGATAAGTTTTCAAAATAAAAACTCTTAAATTATTGTGATGATTTTAAAATATCTTTTATAAAGTCACTTAATAGTCGTTATCAAATCAATCTAGTTAATTTGTTCAATATCTCGAATAATTTCGACAGTCTACCGAAGTTTGATTCTTATCCTCACATCAGTTGGCTCTTTTGTACTGCATTCATTTCAATGCACCAATGTTTGACTTACAAGTAAAGTATGCGCTAGAAAAGCTCAATTTTAAACTCATTTGTATCTTACATGAAGCTTTATCTTCTTGTTTTCCATTTAGAGACTACAAAATGAATGAAAACTCATATAAAAAAAAGTTTAAATACACATCATACACAATTTGCGAAATGGGAATGAGAAGGATAAAGAAGAAATTCAATTTTCTGTTTTTTTATCTTTTATGAGATGAGATGAGATATGAGAAGAAGGATGAATTTAAAAAAATTATTTTTTAATGTGATGATTCATAATATTTACAATGAACATTTTCATCCTCATTTCACTTGTTATTCTTTATTTTTGTTTTAATAATGTTTTATTCAGTTCTGTCACATTCAAATTGCAAGGTTCATTAGCAATTTTATGCGATAATTGTGAATTAAAGGATGTAAGGAAGTTAAATAGCATTATTTGATGAATAATTATTAATGTGCTTTACATTGAAATCAAAAAATTTACGTTAATTACATCTTAAAGGTAGACATTCTCGTAAAAAAACATAATAAGTTCCTGTTTATAAAATAATCAACATTTTGTTGTTTAATAAAATACATTTCAATCCCGAAAATTGGTAATTCAATCTATTTGATTTTGGATTGTAAACATCCATTACATCAACATTTTGTTAAAAATCAACATATCTATCTCGCGATGCAAACAAATGAATCTAATTAATTGTATGTTCCCTTTACATTTGATAACAAAGCTTGAAAATGCGATGGATTCAATGCTGGAATATTAAAAGGATTTCCCTAAAAGCATTCCACTCCAGTTTTTGGCTAATAAACATGTTACATATATTCTTTTTCATTCTATTTTCATATGTTATTTGAAACTTAATTCATTTCAACATTCTAGAATTAAAATTAGCTTCCATTATTCATTCGCCAGTGTCTATTGTTATACACTCATATACTCGCTTGAAAGTGTACACAAAAAAAGTTTCCAAGTTGGTGCTTTTATATTAAAATGTGTGGTAAAAAACGCTTTGAATTTTAAGTAAGTTAAAGTTCAAATTCACAATTTATTCTAGAGCTCGAAGTCAATGAAATTTTGTATGAAGTCGACTCCGCTATACAAAATCGATGAAAATCTAGAGTCGACTTTAAGCTCTGATTATTCACAAGTTTTGGTAATAAAATGTAGCAAAACGAGTGAGTCAGGCTCGTAGCGAGGTGGGTCTTGTTCCCATCTTAAACGTTTTGAACTGCAGCGAGAGCACGGCTTAAGAGTAGGACAAGACCCTCCTGGCTACGCGCCTGGAGTGAGTATAGTCAAGCATCATATCTATAGATCTCCCAATATCTGAGATAATAGTACAAATATTGGTAAAACAAGTTTGGTTTGTTGGGTTTCAAACCCGAGTTCTTAAACAAAGTGAACACCGAAAACCAAGTTGGAGATCCCTTCCACTCAGCCACTGAGGCACTTGTGTCTCTTTAGCTATTCCTCATTCAAATACTGCAAGTTTTAATACAAGCTCTTAGAGCTACATCTCCATCAACATGACGAAAATTGACCTTAAACAGGACGAACTGAATAAGCCAAATATTTTCATCAAATCAAAAAGCAGCTCCACTAAATAGCTCCAAAATGTAAACCACACAAGCACGGAGAAGATGAAAAGCGAACTTTTTGTTTTCTCTTGTTTGTGTATCTCTCACATATGTACGAAATTAGTATCAAGAAGTGCTTTTATCATCATCAAATTCAAGTTTAGATTATTTTGTTTTTTCAACGAGTATCTCATCCATCCTCATTCAATCTTGCATATTTTTTTTCTATCTCATCCATTTTCAGATGCACCAGTTTGTATATCATCGAGCGTTACAATTGTTGGTGCTTCAATCGATGAATCAGTGACGATTGCATGTAGAATTAGTGCCGATCCACCAAAAGTTTCATTCGAATGGACATTTTCGAACAGTGGCGAACGATATGAAGTGCCATCCGGTCATTATACTACAATTCAACAAAATTTTAACGCAGACACAGATCACATTTATCTTGATGCTGATGAAAATGGGACTAATGGCAATGGTACTTTAACTTTATTCTTTTTATTTTGTGCTATTTTTTTGTATATTCGCTTTTTTTAGTTGAAGCTTTTTCTTACTCTTTAAAATTCAATTCTTTTGCATGTGAGTTTAGTGACTTTGGTGCATCCATTGTGTATTACAGTGGTTCTCAAACTGTGTTCCGTTCGTTACTTTCTGCAACCATGTCTTATGTGGAGCTTAGGTTACAACAAAACAAAAAAGAAAGCCTGTCAGACTCTGTTACAACCTTTGTCACTTATTTTGTACTGTCTGCACATTAAGCTGTCATTCCTTCATTGCTGCTCTGCACCAAGTTGCTTTTGGAACTAGTTTTTTGTCTTTGAAACAAGTTAAATTGATAGGATCTCAAAAAAGATAAACATTTCTGCTTAGCTAAAGAAGTTTCTCATATCAACAAACCCCTTTTCTGCTGCAAAATGTAGTCATTAATTATGAACGATCCCTTAGAATTTATGTTGACCTTTAAGATAAATTTTCAATTTTAACGTCCTGCTTGACAAAAGAATTAAACTTGACTGTGATTTCTGGATTTATTAACTTTAGTGAACCTTTAATAGTTCCTAATTTATAAGTCTGTAGATAGTCATAGCTCAGCTAATCCTCTTCTCCTTAAACCTTTGTGACACCAAAAAGACATAATATTCTCAATTCAAGAAATGTTAAATACTTACGACAATGTCACTCTACTCAAAGCTTAACAGCTGTCCTATAAAACAACTCAGTTTAAATAACCAGATCCACAACACCACAGTCATCTTATCAAATCATCGATTTTTTTTTTGCCATTTTTTCTCTCGCATTTTCATTATCATCATCCTCCGTTCATTTTTTTTCCTTCAATATTCTTTTTATTTCACATCCTTCACTCCCTCTATTTAACTCTCATCCATAAACCATAAGCATTAATCTTCTTCAAGTGCTTAATCGTTGCAATTTATTCTTGTTTTTATTGTTTGTGCTTCTACTTCTACTTGTCCCGCTATTTTACTAACAATTTCTTTCTTTTTTTTTCTCTTACTTTTTTTTCGGTGGATAAATTTATTTTTTTCTAGGTCTGATAATGGAAACAGTGAACGAATTGATTTATACACCAAAAGGTGAACGAGATTATGGAACGTTGGCATGTTGGGGTACAAATTCTATTGGGAAACAAGTTGAGCCCTGCTTATTTCAAATTGTTCCAGCCGGTATGTTAAACATTTGTTTTTAAATTGATTTTTTAATGAAGCAAAGTTGGGATGTTAGGGGATGTTTGTAAAGGAAGGACATCGACATTTAGCCGATTTTAAGCCGATCGGCTTAAATTTCGGCTTAAAATTCTCAAACTTGAAATTCTGAGCTCACTATAGCTACATGCTGACAAAATATTACACAGAATCATAGTAAAGCATGTAAAGTTCAGTTTAAATACTTGAAATGGGTGTCAAATGGCTTTTTTCTATCAAAAAAATCAAAAATTGAGTTAAGCCGAAAAAATCGGCTTCGATCTCTGCTTATTATGATACGTACGCGAAAAACAATTAGCCTCCTCCTCTAACTGTTTCAAAATCTTAACCAACCCCCCCCCCACCTTCCCCTTCTAAAACCTTGAACCTAAAACGCTATTGCATTTCGCCAAAAAAAAATTGAGGGGAAAACAACATGATGAAAAATTTATGCAGATTTTTTTTCTCATTATGCTGTTTCCCCCCTCGCTTAAATCATAATCACCAAACATCCTCAACACCCAACTCTGTCTAAATTGACGACTCCTGCCTGAATAAATGCACTCATTAAAGCTTAAATTTGAAGAGGGTGGAAACAATGAAAATAATGTAAAATAATTTAAAGAAGCAAGAGAACAAAAAAAAATTAAATTTACAGCAACGATGATTATAAAGATCGAAATTGACAAAAGTACTTGATAGACTTGTGAGGCGGAAAATTTTCTAGTTAATTAAATTCACTTTGATTTTGATTAAATTATAAATTACAAAGTAAATTTTATTATGTTTCGTTGTATAAATTAATTTATATACAAAAACATTTCATTTACAGTCAATCTAACTCATGTCATATCATGTGGAAATATTTTAATAGTAAGATAAATGGATTGACGTATTTGACAGATTTTTAACGGGAAATTGAGTTTTGTTGTTAAGATTTATTGATTCTAGGAAGATGTCTTGTTATGAAATTTTTTCACAGCAAATTGATACATATTTAATTTTTTTGATGGATCATCTGGCAATGGCAGATTCAAAAGAACTTCATGGGTGGCACGTCGCATGTAGATTTATGAAAAAAAAAAATCAAATCATTTAAAATTTGAATCTTTTTGAATCAAAATTTAAATCTTTAAAATTTGAATTTTTTTATTCGAAATTTAAAACTTTAAAAATCTCTTTAAAGTCATTCACTCGATGGTTTGTAATAGGATGAAAATGAAGACTTGAAACGTTCTGAATTTTTTTCTTTGGAACGTCATTTTCAATTATCTTTTTCCATTAATTCTATAAAAAAAAAAGTTTTTTTTTTCAATTTTTGTTCTCTTTGCTACCTTTCCATCGTCAATGCCATGAACATAGAAATGAAATTATAAAAGTTATAAACACACTTTTGTGCTTCTTACTGCAGAAAAAAAGAAACTAATTTTTTGATAGAAAAAACTGGAGAGGATTTAAAAGGGGCAATGTTATTAAAAGCATCTTTTGATTTAATTAGTACAAAGCAGAAGTCAACTTAAGTCTGACTAAATCGACTATTAATGAATGATTTAAACTGACTGACTTCTTGCTCTGATTTAAACTTTTAATGATTTTTAATGAAATTCGATGTAAAAAAGTTTGATATAAAGTTTATAATTTAAAACTAAAAAGGATTCGATAAAATTTTTCTTCATTTTATAATCTGATACTCCTTTGGAAAGCTTCACAAACTCTAAAGCCTAGCAAATTTCACTTCCATCAGAATTTCCTCATCTTTTATTCACAATTTTTCTCTTCAATTTAATACAACAAAGTAGAAAACTTAATAAGGCAATATTGAAATCCATCAACTTAGTTCCTCCCTTAAAGTCAATTTCTACGAGTCAAATATTTTTTTTCTTCATTAAAAAATCTTCGATAGAAACTTATTTTTCTTGTGTATGATAGATCTAGATAATTTAGACAAAAGAAAGTAGGGAGAGAAATTCTGAGTAATAAAAATTGATAAGAGAGCAAAAAAAAGCTTGTTTCATTCTTTATAGCTCCCCCTCATACCACGAGAAGCTACAGCACAGGCAATGTCGTCAATTTTCAATTCATTTTGTTAGAAAAGATTTTTTTTTTTCAATTTTCTCTGTCTTTTCTTCTTTCTTTCATTTATTTCTTCTCAATCGATACACACAGCTAAACCTGCTCCGCTGCGTAATTGTACTTTACGTCCTTATTCATCACCCTCGTCTGTATCAGCAGCAACGGCAATGTTATCAAATTCCTCTTCTTCCAATTTGCCATTTTACAGCGGCGGTAATCAAATTGTAAATGGGGCCCAACATTCAAAAGAATTAAATTACATAACAACAGAATACGTGAAAGATAGAAATCTCGTGGATGATAAGAGGAAATCATCATCAAATATCTACCATCATCAGCATCAACAGCAACAGCATCATCAATTGTCATCTTTAGAACGTAAGAATAATAATGGAAAAAATATGAGCTTATCAAGCACACAGCGATATAATGCAGTGCAACAGCAACAGCAGCAGTATCAGCAACAACATAGGAACAATACAAACAATATAAATTTTAGTGATAGTAAAAGCAACGATCGATATAAATCAAATTTAAAAAATATAAAACGTCACACGACATCATCATCGTTGCCATCGTCGACGTTGCATGAGTCAGGAATGACAATGGCACTAAGAAATGAAAATAAACGTGAAGTTGGTGCTAATAGATTGTATTCGTCTTCTTTTAACGAAACAAGGCACGTAAATTTTAATAAGCGAGCATCAGCAGCACAAAAAAATAATCAATATTCAACAGATTCTGTTGATACATCAATCTCATACCTCCGTTCTTCATCATCCATTTCATCATCGTCAAAATATCATCATGTGCCATCAGCAATCAACTCGCACGGTAGTTATAATAACCACATTTCAAATAGCAATAATAATCCATACGCTAACACTGTTCTTACCGAGACAGTCGAGCAGCCAACATTAATGGAATTAGAGTGTATTGCTGGGTAAGTTTAGACATTGATTTCTTTTTTTGTTCATGAACTAATCATATAGAATTGTCCAATTTGATGTAAATCTTTGATTGTAATATGCATTTTAATTGCTGCAGGAATCATTCATAAATGACGTCTTTTAAAAATATATTTTTATAGACCCCTATATGTCACAAAATTTTTCATTGGTATAGCGACAGACCCTCCTCAATCCCATAAAGTTAGACATCATTTATGAACGACCCCTAATTAATCAATATTCCTTATGTAAAAATTTTACAGATTTGATGGCGGTTTACCACAATATTTCTTCCTCGAAGCCTATGACTCACGAACGAGGAAGTTACGATTAAATATAACAAGTGCTCTTAATGACGTACCATTATTTCGAATTGATTTAGCAGGTATTTCAACTCAATATTCGGTTATGGTTTTAATATTCTTCATCAGTCTCATCCTGTTCCTCTCTCATTCCTTACTTATTCTCATTTGTCTTTCGTCACCCACTCCTTTCATTCGTTAAGAAATGTATATTTATATCTCAACATACCTTGTACCGTCCTACTACGACTGATGATTATTAATTAGATGGGTCTTCGTAAAACTTCTTATCATTCGTCTTTTTCTCATCTCTTGTTCCATACTCTATGAGATTCTCTGTTTAAAGCATCATCCTCTCTCAATGTCGCCTCAGCTTTTGCCTTATCTCACTTGAGATGATGATGAGATATCGTATTACAGTTTAAAATTCATTTATTTTTTGCTTTGATGGCATTAGAATTATTTTCTTTGAATTTTCTCTTTTAAGAAGCGACATAGTAATGGAGGGAATCATTTTCAGGCAGAACAGGGCGTGTGTATAGCAGATTTTCAGGATTTCAGGCTCTTTTGAAGTTAATTAATTTTATATCACAGGTTATTTTAATACACTGCAAAAACGTAGCCAGTGGAGATACAAACACGCTTCAAACAAAAAGGTCTAGACAGAGGGGAAGGCGCGTAGCCAGGGGGAGAGGAATTTGGGGAAAAAATCCCCCAACGTTAACAAAAATCACCCCCCCCCTTAAATTTTTCCATACAAAAATTTTTTTTGCCCCCCCCCCCCCTCTCCAGGCTACGTCCCTGCAGAGAGGTATAATATAATGTCTCTATTCATTGCTGCATTCACTGCAGCTTCTTCTCTAGAAACAACAAAAAAGGAAATAAACCCGATTATATGTCCATCCCCTTGTGATTGGACCTGTGTCTGTAAGGTCAACGGCCCACACTATAATCATGATTCCACTGCTGCTTTTTCATTGCTATGATCAGAGACCATTTATTAATTCCGTAATGAAATAACGATCTTTTTCAAAAAAGTGCAAAAAAATTCTTTTGTTTAAGACCCCCTGCCCCTGCCCTCTGCTACATAAGTGAATTATATTAATAGCTTATTAGGTAAAAAAAATCGCCAAAAAAATGATGTAGACATGAAAAATTATTTAGGCGAGACTGCTACAAAATTAAATTTTCTCATAATTATTTTAACTGAAATAGAATTTACCCAAAGTGATATAAATAAATAAATCAATTACACACTCATAAAAAAAAATTAATAAATTTTATTAAAAATGTATGAAAAAGTTTAATAAAAGTTTATAAAAATACATCTTGATAACTTTTACTAAAATTTGATAAGGGTTATTAAAAGTTTTGGTTTTACAAAATTGCATTCAAATTTTACAAAACCGTTAAAAAATTTTAATAATTTTCTTACTAAACTTTAGTAAAAAGTTATTAAGATGAATTTTTTATAATTTATATTAAATTTGTTCATGGATTTTAGTAAAAAGTCATTAAAATTTCTTGGATTATTTTTTTTACAAAAACAGTTTTATAGTATAATTAATTTATAGTATGGAGCTTTTTCAAGTCTTAAGTAAAACGCTTTCTCAAAGCTTAAGACTTTGCATGATTTTTGGCACTTAATGTGCCTCATAAGAAATTAATAATTTTATATGACTTTGTATGAGAACTAAGACATTCTTTTGTATAAGTCATTTCTGGAAGCGTTTGTGAAGTATATAAAATGTATGAAAACCTTACAATTTTGGAAACCTACAACAGTTTTACAACGCTGTAGGATTTTAAAAACTTTTATTAAAATTTGATAAGTTTTACTAAAAGTTTGATAAGGTTTACTAAAATTTTAATAATTCTCATTAAAAAAATTTTAATAAGATTTTAACAACAAATTACTAAAAATATTTTTATGAGTGCAACAGTACGAATGGAAAGACAAGAAATGTCTTTAAGATCAATTAAATTCCGACGAGTTGATGTACATGCCTTTTGTGCTGTGTATTTGTGTTATGATTCAATTAAGTAATCTTCATAATTGCGCAAAAATTATAATGAGAATAACGAGAAAATGAGCGACTGTAAGAGACAAATGATGATGATGAAGAAAATTTTTTTTAAGAAAATTTTCATTTAATTTTCCATTTTGTGAGCAATTTTTGTACTAATTAACATATTTTTATTTCTGCTCTTTTTTTGCTTCCTTATAACTTCTACAATCATGTTCACGTAACTTGTTTAAACATAAAAATAAACAAACAAAAAAAAAACATGAAAATAATCACAGATTTACTGCCATCCGACTCTTATACACCCACACTGCATCTAGTCGCATATAGCGTGAATCAAAAGGGACGCTCTGAGCCAACAGTGCTTGAAGACATTGCCATTAATGAAGCGGAAAAAAGAACAGGTATGTACATAGATTCTCATCTCTATAACTTTTTTTTTTCATTCTATTCAATGGAATAGACGATTTTTTATACAGTGTGTCGATGAGCTGAATGAATGAGATTTTTCACTTCAATTTTTTTTTGTTTTCCTTTTTTTCACGTCATATTGAGGCAATTTTTTCCATGAATATCTATCAATGTGTGTGCATTTCTCAAATGTCTGTATACTTTGAGTAAACTTTGTTAAACGAAATACTGTTTGTCAAAAGGATTATGCTGGAGTTAGCTTTAAATTAAGCGTGATTTTTGTTTAATCGATAGAATGACATCTCGGTTCTTGATAGATTGGCTTGATCTGACTTCTCAGCTTTATGCTGTAGGCTACTTATCGAAAACTTTTAACTATTCAGATCATATATGTCGTTTCGTTGAGTAGATAACTGCTGCATGTGTATACAATTATAAAACAAGTCGGGTTAGATGAGAATCGAATCCACAACCTCAAAAGAGACGATCTCTGAACACTCGATCAGAGATTCGCCTGCCACTCAACCACCGAGGTACTTATCTTACTTCGGCTAGTCGTCATACTCATACAACCAGTTTCACAGTGCTCAGTTGCCCTTTGCTCAGGCCTATCGAGCCAAATCCACACATGGCTAATGCTAGTTTAACGATTTATTATTCGCCAAGCCAACACACTTAACCTACAATTAATATTTGGATCCGAACGTCTCTTTAGATGACAATCCTAAGTTTCGAACTCTTGATTATTACGTCGATATTTCAAAATCATGTACCGAAGTACTAAAAATTCAGCGAACGAGCTGAAAAAATTTTGATGACACTTTAAAGCACTGCTTCTTAATTATGGTTCGCGACACGTTAAAACAAATAAGCAATTCCGTCTCTACTTGACAACATACGTAAACGACTCCTATTACAATGTCTAAGCTCTTTGATATAAAATCCAGCCAATTTCACATCAATAATTTATACATGCAAGTCTTCTTCCTCCTTTATTTTTGTGAGTTTTTCCAGCATAAAAGTTAAAAGCTTTTTTTTTCTGTTGATGAATATTGTAGAATATATAGAAGGTCCATTTATAAAAGCTAGGCAAACAAGTTTAATAGACAGACAGGCATCGACTCATAAATTTGTTATGAAAAGTCGGTAGAAGGAGATGGAGGGGATGAAAATTTTCTATTTAGATTATGTCGCAAAGTGAAATGCGTTAAAAAGTTTCAATCATGAGCAGAAAGTTTGTTCTTGTTTGGTGCTTTAAACTAAACAAGAACATTTTTCCTCGTCCTCCTTCATTAGAATATGATGAAAATTGAAAAGTTCGCAAGTCATAATCAAAATTGGTTATGGCTTAAAAGTATCGCGTGGAAAGAATTTTTTTTTGTGCTGTGCATTAGGGAATGAATATGAAAGAGGCAAGAAAGAACTTGATTCAAAAACTTGTTCTCGTTTCCATTTCATGAGCTTGAACAGCAAAAAAAAAGTTGAATGATAAAGAAGAAGGCAAGAAAAAGGAATAAACAGACAGAAACAATGTTTCTCGAGCAACAATATTTTTTTTCTTCTTCATTTCTGCTAATATGAGTTAGCGAGTAAAACCAAAAAACAGCCTTAAGATGATATCGTAGTACAACGATGAGGGAGAGAATATGGAAGTTAAAGTATTTGCCTACAAGCATGTTACAAAAATGATATTGTAGCGCATATTCTTCTTGATTCAATTTATTATAAATGGTGATTTATCTTACTGATTCATTTTGTGGCTTTAAAATGCTTTTAATCTTTCGTTGTAAAAAATCTTATTTTTAGAATCCAGCGCGTAGTCAGAAATTTGTAATTGTGTGATTTTTAATTTTTTTGGATAATTTTTCAACCTTCCATTTTTCATCAGCTATATCGAAGACCAAAATATTAAAGATAAAGAATTTTAAACTTCAATCTAAATGACATTTCTCAGCTGGAGTTCCAATAACGCATGATATTGAAAATTCCAAACCAGCATAACTTCCTTATATAAATTTTCTCGATTATTTTCATTAAATGAACTATAAATAAAACTTAATATATTAAATTAAAACCATTGCAATAATAATCCCTTCATCCTGCTCTCAATTACTCCATAAAAATCACCTCAAAAACCGCGCTAAAAGCGATGATGAGAGCAATTTTACTCTTTATTATTATTTCGAGGGGGAGCTTAAAAAGCAGCAAAAGAGCAAAAAGAAAGTTGATATCGCCTTCATAACATTGCTTACTGGCATTCTTTTCGTTCGTAAAAAATACCTCAACTCCATTTAAATGGATACGAGAGGAAAAAAGTATGGAAAATGTTCACATACTTTATCTAGTTGCGTTTGTCATGTATTCGTGACATTCACAAACGAAAAAAAGAAGAATATAAATGTAAATTTTCGTGAATAACACAATTTTTGTTTCTAAATGTTAATTTTGATTTTATCACACAAACGATTTTAAGTGTGCTATGCCTCCCCCTTCTCCATTCACTTCCTTTTCTTTCATTCCTCTGTGGAAGTTTTTTTCTTACTCTCTCTCATTTTCATTTCTTGTTATGTACCTAATATCATCACCACGTTCGTTGCTTCTTTTCTTGTCTTCTTCTTACCACGGAATCTTTAACGTTGTCATCGAGCAACAGAGAAGGAGGAAAAAAACATTCGAGACTCAAACACACAAAGTGAGCTTTACCTATTTTAGGAATAAAGAAAAGAAGAGAACGGAAGAACTTAAGGAAATTTGGGCGAGGGTTGGTATGTTGTGCAAAATTGAGTTTAAATTAAGGATTGCACCTCCTTTGCTAGGTATACTAGGATATACTAGCATCTTGCACACACGAATTGTGACTAGGTACATTGCAGGGTACATCAGGTCTTTAGACGTACTCGTGACTTTTCAATACACAGAGCTTGCAAGTGGTTCGGATTCCACTATAAACTGTAGGTCTAAAGGGTGTGGGACAATAGAATCTGTTCTAATTTGAATCGCAGTGCCTTCTGCTCTGAAAGCTGGTCTCTATCTATGTTGCAACTTTTTAAGATTGCTTCAGAGACTCAAAGTGTAGATTTAGTATTGGAGAAATCAGCACCTAGTATGGAAAAATATGAATCATCCAAACCAAAACCCTTTCAAATCGAATCCACTTCTATGTGCAAGAATAGTGTCACAGCCTTCACGAATCTATGTTGGATCTTTTGTGTCGATTGAGTACACATCTCCATGTATTACAATTATGCTTTGAATATCATCATAATCCATAATAAATATGAGATGGAACTGCAATTTAAAAATCCTCCGAATTCCTGTTTTTTAAAAGGAAAAATTACTAAAAACCTAATTTAAAAAAATCCAAAAGCATTTACCAATCAAAAAACATTTGCATTACGTGAGAATTGCTATTAAATTTCCATTATACAACCTCTCCATCCCGAATTTACATTCATGATTGCAATCAACATCAAAGGTGTCCAACCCTCATTCAAGCAAGTATGATGAAAGGAAAGCAACAAAAGACAAGAAAAGTGTGTGTGTACAGAGTATGTATGTAAAATGCCATAGCACGCTAGCTCATTATTTGGTGTAAAGCAGGTGAAAATTAAAATAAAGCGCCCATGTTATATGCAATATAAAACAATCAAGAGAAATGGCATGGCAGGCAATGTAAAGAGGAGGCAGAGAAGAAAAAAAAATTTTGATATAAGCACATAATGAGGATGGAAGTTCTACATATATACGCAAATTCTCATTTCATTACTGCTGCCTTCATTGTTGAGTGCCATGAATGATTTTAAAAATGCTAACGAGAGTCAATAAAGAGCTCGGAATGTAGAATTTAAATTACATGAGATCACAGTAAATATTTCCTCACCTTCTTTATCCCTCGTTCATCTCAAGATTGCAAACAATAAAAAAAGGCAACTTAAAGGAACAGAAAAATTCTCTTCAACATTTTTTTTTCTTCTCTTTCTTTTTATGCTTTCTACATTCGTCCTCACACCCCCATCCATTTATGCCAATTAGCCCTCAGAGATTCGAGTGAAAATGTAATGAGATGAAATATTAATTATAACACCGTTTGTGCCATCGTTTGATGTGTAAATACTTGTGCGCTATAAAGCAAAAATGCGAAAAAAAAAGTATGAACGTGAGTGTGTATGTTGATAGAGATTGAAGTGGAGGAGTGCGAAGGTAAAATGCGAGAGTGAGAAAGAGAGCTAAAAAGGTACAATTTTTTTTTTTTTGTATTTGCACGTGAACTCTGCCGTTTGTTAGCTTCATTTTTTCCGGAGGTACTTGCGTCTATAGCAAAACAACAACAACAACCAAAAGTATAAGAAAGAGAAGAGAAAAAAATCCGAGATTGAAGAGGTTGGGAAACTTTTTTTTTATGTTCGGCCTTTAAATGTGTTATGTCTGTTTCTAAGGCTTACTCTGCATTTACATTGGCAAGAAGAAGGGATGAAAAAATTACGATTAAAAATATATGATTTAGCAGAAAATAAAAGGAAACGTTTTTCGTCGTTTCTTAAGTCTAATGTACCAGTAACGATATTTAAATAGCACATAAGAACCTATTTATTCCAAGAAATAAAAGAGAATGAAAAGGGCTTGTGATTTTTCTTTTTTGGGACATACTCACATTATAAGGAATGAAGAAAGGTTGGAAACGTAAGGCGGAGACAGAAAAAAAATTGGGCTAAAAAGAGTAAAATGTTAAAAAGCATTTAGGCATCATATGAATAAAGGCTGGATGAATATTTTGAAGCTTGTTTTATGTGGAAGTTTTAAACAGTTGATGCTCCTTTTGGATCTGTATTAATTTTAAGAATTCAATTTAGTCGAGGATAATCAAAAGACCCCAACTTACTGGCAGCATACTCATCTTAATGAAGTTATTCATAAATTTAAGGCTGCTCAATCCAAACTTATTGTTAGAAAGAGAGACAAATCTAGGATATTTCATGACTGATTTTATGATAAT